ATCATGAATTCAGGTCAGATATAGTCACGGCTCACAAATGTGCTCAACTTGAGCTTTTGAACGAGTCTGTATGAAGCTGTGATATGTAAATTCGCTACAACAAACGTTTTAATATGCGGCTAAGCCTTGGCCCGTGTTTGTATTTGTAGTCAAATCAGTTAATAAGCTAAATTCTATATCTACACTATCGTAGACGGTGGATGGAATTCCCATCTGTCTGCTTGTTATATATCTTTACTTTTTCTTTAAAATACCGACTTATAGTACTGGCAATTTTCAGTACAATTTATATATAACAGTCTTAGGTTATATACATGCATGTTATATCAAAAGTATTTATGGAATTATGGACTAGAATTATAGATATTTACAAATTTTTGTCTTAGACTAGCGACACAATTAGATACACTGAAATATTATGTGTAAACGCCGATGAAACGGCAGTTTCAATTACTCAGTGACGAAACTGATCAAAACGAAAATTGATCGAAATGACTTAAATATCCTCCAATTCAAGCACATTGACGTTTTAATTATGGTAATTTTCCCCTCATGTATATAAGAATATTTTGAAGACTTATGGTTGGTGTTGCGACGAATTATTGTCTTTACATGCGATTTGGAACATTTACGATTGATTATGTAAGACCCATATGGCCATGCATGCGTTCCTAAGTGTTCAAATACTGTATAAGCTGAGAATTAAGAATTAAATCTGTCAACACTGGTAATAAAAACTTATAATTTATAAGATGATTCGGCAATTTACCTTTAGCTTGGATCTTGAACTCCATAGCCATAGGCAAAAGACTGTTACTAACCTGCGAGTCCAACTGATCTTGTAAATGATAGAAAATGAATTTTCTTCTGTATCAGACTGTTGGCCGTTCTCTAGAATAAGGTACATAAACTTAATTATATAGCGGCCGCCGAAGTATTTCATGACTTCCCCTCCCCAAATAATGTCGTGGATTCCATCCAACACGTCTGTAAATGTTTGTATAATTAGACCTCAGAAGATAATCGTAATACAGGGGTTGTGCACAATAGATTTGATAAAGGAAAACAATAACACCGTTGGTTTTTGTTCTTTGTTTCTGTATCGTAACAATAGATCACAGCAAATCATAATTACAAAGTTAGACGTTGTGGTTAGTTCATTTAAACAGCCATAGAACAAGCAATTTTATGCTTTTGTCTGCATTTTGCTGAGATAACCTTTTTGCAGTGTCGGATTTTTTTGAGGTAACTGTCTCTTCAGAGTGGAATCCGCGGTCTGTCAGCAATTCCCTATAGAATGCTGTGGTGGAAATGGAATACTTTGGAAAGTTGTAATTTAAAAAGAAAAGTCGATCTATACCCAACTTATCTGTGCGCGGGCCATCAAAAAGTAATATTTGCAGTGAAACAATGGATTACAAGTGACCAGTTGTTGATAATCCACCTTGATATACGATTTCTGTGTTATCATTGCACTGTATCAGTGTTAGGTAAAGCAAGTCAATAAATGTTCGAGACAATATGACTATTTGATGGCTATAAACATTAAGATAAAACATCTACAAAATATTTGTATACTCATGCCGACACCACATACTGTTTTTAATAGCCCCCAAAACGGAACTGTCTACACTCATCCACACTGATAATTTGTTAAACGGGCGTTTCTAATAAAAAATACAATCTTCGTTTCTGTTTTATCAGCTCCTCGTTCTATTTGTTGATATTATATCATAACAAGTTAACCAAACAGATCAACAGCATAGCAACACATCACTCTTATAATCCTATTTCGAAGCGCTGACAGGTAAATAGTATTTTCGGATTTCAATCGGAGTTTCAGAATTGCAAGCTTCGCGGCTCTTTAATTCTCCAAGTAATTGGCATGCTGTCTACCGTTTCTGCGGTACGGATGTTCGTAAAGAATCGGTATGGTGCATGTTCGTCGTTTTTTGGTCAAAAACAGTAGAATGACACCTTAATTGCAGTCTTGAGATAAATCAAGTGACAATGTTTAAATATATCATGTTTATAGTTTATATACCCTTTCGGTTAGGAAATATTGGAAAATCAGAAATATGTACTTCGCAAGTGTTGTTGGGTCTTAAAGGTAATGAAAATACTTCATGAGTCATGGATCGTTTCCAATTAAATTGTAAATCTTGCAGAACCGTAAAATTTGAGTAATGAAATGAATCTAACATTAAACAACAAACAAAACAATTAGGACACCGAACGCTAATTCCTATAGGGGTTTTTATACCATACAGCATGTGTTAAATTTTAAAACTGAATTATTGAATATTGCCGTCATGCATGATGATGTATTTTGTGAATATGTATATATACGCGCAAGGTTGACGTGTAAGGGCAGGTATTTTCCATGTGTATATCCTGAGGTATTTTCATCTAGAAATCCTTTCAAGAACAGAAGCCGCTATGTAAAGACGATCAGCACGAAAGTCCAAACAATTATTTCATTTATAATCATATTTGCAGGTTTCCCAACATGCACAGTGTCTTCACAGTTTAATGCTCAGTTAGCATCATCTTAAAGGTTAATTTATCTTTGTTTTTACATCAATACACTTAGCACGTCGCTAAAGACAAGGCAACGCTAACTACCAAAATAACGTTTCTTGTAATGTTGGCCCTTTCATTTCCTGCTATGCAGTTCCACGTCTCAGGATTAATAAGTAAAAGATGAAAAAACAATTACCTCAGTCATCAATGATTAAATGGTCTTGCGCATGTTTGTAGCCTGGCTCGATCTCTGATCATCGGTTGTTTTTCAACAGTGTTAAAAGCGTTTTAGTTAACATAAACAGCTGTATGATTTAGAACAAAACTTGTGGAGACAGAATTCAGACTGCGGAATATCTCTATAATTACTGACAGGTTAACCCCCGCGCATTAACGTGACTTGAAAGAAAATCAAGTCAGGGATCATTCACACTTTCATTGAAGAAAAACACTAACACTATATTAGATAATTAACAATGAGCTTGACGAAAGTTTGCTTGCATTACACGAATATAACATTGCAGCTCATAAATCAACGAAACTATCATATGTGTCTGCAAGTAATGGGGCAACTGACTTGTAACGGGACACAAACTGGCAGCATTTGCCACAGCCTATGATCTTGGGACGCTAATCATTTAGCGAGAAGTGGCAGTTGTAAAATAGCTTAAGTACTTGTAAGATAATATAGAGAAACAAAAACATATCTGTATGTGATAACTTATCGAAAGCAAACTAACTACTAAAAATAAGCATAAATCCTTTCGGAGCATGTTTGTAATGACTATTTCTACAGTATGTAAGATAGTAATCTTGAAATTAGTGTTTTGACGTCACTGGTGTATTCAAAATCACTCGTTCAACTATTAAAGAATGATGTACTTGTTCCCGCCAGTCAGTTTAAAAATTTCTTTATTGTAAATTGAGTACGCTTCTTTAATAGTAATAGCCGGACAATGGTACTCATGCATGTATGTCCCCAATCCCCATTAATTGTTCATGATAAAATTTAACGGTTTGTACCGTCTACAAAAATCCAAAGGTAACAAAGTAGACCCGTATATAAAGTACCGTAGATAGTAGGCGAGTGCTATAGATCTGTGTGAGAAACGAATCAAGCTTTCGAATGGCCTTGTTAGTGGTTATACCAATTATACCATATACAGATCCCTTGAGTCATAACTGTTAACATGCATTCTTAATCAAGTTCCCAATTCCGATATCAAAATGATATAATAGTAAGACCAGACACTACTGTGGAATTTAGATATCATTCCCAGACCACCTTGCACATTACTTCTAACAATATAATGCAACCTGATAATCAGGTCCACCTGATAATCAGGTCCAGTAGAAGATAAAAGTCATATATTCACGCCGCCGTCTAATATCCTCTATGGCTCTATATATATCACGGGCGGGTGAAGGTTGGCTGATGAATACATTGGTGGTTGACATATAAATTTTATAGAAATGTCACTTTTCAGATGTCCAATTTAGTAATGTTTAAAATAATAGGGTGCGTGCTGTTTTCTGTGTCAATACAATTAAGAGCTGCGAAACAATGGCCAATCACCAATAGGCAATGCGTGCATCAATGTTGTTCCAACAGCACCGTTACTGACTCGTCCCCATGGCCCCAAGAAAAGCTGGAGAAACAACAACATGGTGCGAGTAAGGGCCTTGCCGTTATGGACATTAATCATTTCATGACCACTGGTTGTGCCATCATCTATTTATAGTAAAATAGTGACGACTGGGGACGAGTCAGGTACGGTTATACGACTTTCTCAGTCCCGATCATCCTCTTCCCAGGGTCTCCCGCGTCCTCCCTAGGCCTTGTGACACACAGAACCGGAAGTGCAAGAAAACTTGCAGTAGTTTCCAAAGCGCATGCTCTTGAATTGGGACGCTTTAGCACCTGTAACAATTTTCACAGTGAAGTATTACGAAGAAACGAAGTATTTGTCTTGACATGAATAATTGATAGAATGATTTTTCCTAGCGAAAACTGCTCAACTTCTGCGAAATAGCAGTTCTCTGAGAAGCCAATCAGATCTCTCCCTTTAGTGGTCTAACCCAGAGCCTAATTTTCAACGAGTGACCGAGTGAAAATGGCTTTGGAGACGAGAATGAGTCCCGATTGAATCAATTTTAAATACCGAGTCCTATGGGAGGAGAATAAACTTGATAAAGAATCTTCAATTTTTTCTTCATTGTTTTACTTAAAGCAAAAGCTCGTTTAGAGCGTTTGCACATGACGTCACAGCCGCCATATTGTTCAAAAGAACTTTAATTTAATAGACTCTTGTCTGGAACACTAACATGGCCGCCACTGGCGATGAGTGCAAACGCTCTATATAGTACGTTCATGAATAATTTTATTCAGTCTCCCTAGTTAGCATTACAATTCTCTCCTAATTACTAAAGCTCGCAAACTTTGATCTACTCAACTAAATATTGCGTAATTCTGCAGTGTGCCAAAAATTGCCTGCGGGTAGAAAGCTATCAAGGTGTGAGGTCGTATTTGGTAAATAAGGTAATTCAACAATTAACGTCGTGTGGACAACTCGATGATGATGATCATTCACTTAATTAATGAATAACTCTTAATCTTGCAAGCAAAAACGCTGATATGTATTTGAAACACTTTCAATTTTATGTTTTACAACAGCCAGTAGAAAAAATCTATACAATATCAAGCTGACTTTATAAGTTTAAATAATTATTTAATGAGATAAAAAACATGTTTCTCGTATATCAAAATCGCATTAGACTTTCCACTATGTCTACTGTATGTATAAATTGCTGATAGTGATAGTATATATAAATATATATATCGTATTTTGTTACCTGACACACACTTAACATTAATTTATGAATAGCTATTGAAATGGTTACATTTACTAACCGCAATATTAGTGTACACTCACTGCGCACTCTCCAGCAAATTAAATTACCAGTTGTGAGTTGGCTATCGTGCTGGCATTCCGTCATTGTAACATTAGCTCTAGAGGCCAGCCTCGTACCCAGGCGCAATTAACTAAAAATAGGCACACTACAGTGTTTTTATACAGATCAGTGGGTTGAGCGCGCGGGGGTGCTAGCTTCGCTAACCCGCTGCGTCCTCCCCAAGCACCCCCGCGCGCTCGCTCATGTTAGCCACTGATCTGTATAAAAACACTGTAGTGTGCCTATTTTTAGTTAATTGCGCCTGGGTACGAGGCTGTCTAGAGGCTGTTATCTTGTTACTGGTAATGTTTTGGCTATTTTTCCTGTTTTATTTCGTCAATATCAATTATAACGACATGTAAGGCTTTCAGTTTTTGTACGGTCTATGTTTTTTAAATTGGCAGAACGGTTGCCAAAAAGGAAATGCTAGAGTTTGTTGGTCATTATCATTCCATGTATCACCATTGACATTGTACTGAAATCCACTGCATGAACATACATATTACTACTTGTCTACTTCCCAAGCCTTGTGTAGAAATTTACAATTTCCATTAATTAAGAGATTTACAATTTCCATTGTTATTTGAGATGAAATCTGATGGTTCTGAATAATGACATTCCTTACTTGGATGGGAAAGGCTTCACAGTAATTACAGATTGAAACAAATACACAAACAACATACACCAGGTGGGGCAGCTTCTGATAGAAGTCAATTCAACAGTATCCCCTTGTATGTTGAAGAGTTCTGTAGTTGACAAACTGACCTGCAGGCTTATCTAGAGTGCTTCATAATCTTTGAATTAATAAAATACAATCCGACCAAAATTGGCTCCTTACTCATTCATCATGCTTTGTAAATAGCCCTCTGAACTCTGAAGCTAATATTGACTTTTCGTGCATTTGATTCTATGTATACCTTATGTTTTGAATTTAAATATAACCTAGATGTACTTTTAAAACGTTTTGGATACTTTACTGCTCATATACATGTCCTTTGAATGGTAACCATTCAATTTCACCAGTTGTGAAGAGTTTTTCTGAGTCAATGTTTTCTAAGTGAAGAACTTGTTTTCTTACATATTCAACAAAACTTGCCAAATTTGAAGCATCAGTGTTCTTTTTATTATGAAACATATTTCTCCAGATTGATGCAGCTAGAACACGATCATGGGAGAGGAGCCCTTCATCATAGGCCAGGATAAGACCATAAAATGCTTGCATGAGTTCTTTAAGACTTTGTTTTCTCACACTAGGATCAGCAACCTAGAGAAAAATATTTTCTGTAATAATGATGTTACCAATTGACCATTTGCATAATAGACAAAATATTGATCTCAACAAGTCTAGACAAAAATTTCATCACAGCTTGAAAGAGCATCACAAAATTAGTAATATTCCAAAGTTTCGTTGCGAAATGTTGTAAAATGCGGATAATACAGCCTTGCGGAATTTGAAATTTTCAGTCATTTTAGATTACAAACGGGAAATTGACAGCCTCAAAGGGTATGAGCCTGTCAATTTCCCGTTTGTAATCTAAAATGACTGAAAATTGCAAACTTCGCAAGGCTATATATTATCCGCATTTTACAACATTTCGCAACGAAACTTTGGAATGTGACTAATTTTGTGATGCTCTTTCAAGCTGTGATGAAATTTTTGTCTAGATCAAAATTTAGTCTGTTATGCAAATGGTCAATTATCTATCGTTCTACTCTACTTAGACTCTTTGGATTAAATTAATGACTTGCTTAGCCCATTAAGGCCTGTTTTCACTTGCAATATTCGCTGCAATTCCTAGTGTAATTTTCTTCTGATGCATGTGAACAAGTAACAAGTTATGAATGTTCTGAGTTCCCTCATCTGCACATTGACTCATTCACATCCATCAGAAGAAGAGAATCACACCCCTAAAATTGCTGTCAAATTGTAATAAGTGTCTTTACTGTAAGTTGCATTGTGCCCTACTTTATTACTGTATATTACTCTGTCTAATGCCTGATGATTTTATTTGTCAAGGGGAGAGCTCTGGTGCTCAATGAATTAATCTGCAATGTGCTCTTATACACTTTGTTACTATAGAATTCCTGAACTAGTGGCCCTGTAATTTTGCTTATATATACTGTTTGGGGGGTGGGGCTACTAGTTTTCTTGGGAGGGGGCTACCTACAGAATCATGCTACTTTCAGTTAGTAAAACATGTTAACATTTTTAATCAGGTAGTCTGAGTGCAGGTAAATTTGATATGGTTACCCACTGCACACTGCCTAATGTTTTCAATAATAATTATACTAGCAGGCTGAACTTAAATAATAGGCATCGGATGTGCTCAAAATTTCCAGATGGAAAACAAATATAAATTTTGCAAATATACAGAGAAATAAACAACCCTTGGAGGCCTCACAGGTGGCATTTTTGGTAAACCACTACTAGCAGGGCCATAGCAATCGGGGTGATAATCTGTAAAGTTTGAGAGGGAAATAATGACCTAAAAAAATGCCCCTGACTAATCAGTAGTATTAACTGACTTTTATTGAAAACACTGGGTGATTTTTTAACATGCTCTACCAAAAATTGTGTGTACTTGTAAACAGGCCCCCAAATCATAATAGGTTTATACCCCCATCACTTTCATTCTTTCTTCCACATCATCCCAAAATATCTGCACCATTCTTCTGTACATATACCGACCATCTTTGCCTTCAGGTTTAAGTCGTACAAGACACATCCACACATGAAGTTGATTTATAAGAAACCATGACTGAAATGTATCTGGCATTCCAGCTGCGTCATAAAATTTCTCATAATCTAAACCTTCAACACAACATTCATACATTGTTTTGGCACTTCTTGTTAACACTGCTTTTCTGGAATAAAAGCCACCAAGCCAACCTAACAACTTTAATGCTTTGTTGCCAAGGTTTTCCTCCTCGTTTTTAAGTGAAGTACTTGATGGCATATCAGAGAAACTGCGAGGTACAACGTACATAACAGGAGATTGTTTTAGAATATTTGTCCACTGTCTTGACTGGACCGTGCACATGGCCCTCAAACCTTGAAAACGGATGATCTGGCGCGAAATTCTTTGGATGGCACTCATGCTATACTTCACTTGCAAAGTAGCTTTTAATTCCTTACACCAGAGACAACTTTTGTTGATCCTGTGATCACATAAAAATAATCTTGAGTTGCACAACCCGATTGAAATTGACCTTCGTCTTACATTCTGTGATTCGGGTCTAGTACGTGCACACTCGTGAACTACCGTGACATGATCGTATGTTTGTCGTTTGGCGGTCCGGCGGGAAACTCAAGTCTAACAACAAAATGGCAGATATTGTGAACAATGGGCGAGCAAATAAAATTATTGTGCTCTGAAACGAGTCCCACTAACAATGGAAAAGATTTCAAAGACATATTTATCAATAGATTTAAGCTTCCAGATGGCTTTTGGAACGATTTGTTTGATATTAATTGTCCTGAAGGTAATGTAAAGTGGTCAATATATTATGGCTTAAAATTGACTTTATTTATACAGAACTATATTATGATTTCATAATTTTATAACGTTAAGTATATTAGATTCAACCCACATTACAAGTGCAGCTCAGTATGTTAGCTGCAGTTAGTACCTAATCAGAATTTCTGAAACTTTATTCATGCTTTTTTCAGGCATTGTTCTTCATACCCATGGGCATGCAATTGAAATTTTAAAATTTTCTTTGTCAAATTCCCAGTTAAAGCCACAAAAACCTGGTCAAATCCCCCTACCCGGGCATACACCACAATCCAAAAAACTGTCTTATACTAGTGGACTTTCTCTCACATATATTAAACATTACAAAAATTGGTATCTTTATTAATATTGTTATCTCTGTAATTTTCAAAAACAGCAAAACTAAAATTTTTAAATTAATTTAAACTATCTGTCTATAGAAAACGTTCAAAAAACCCAAAATCATTAATCTCAGTCATCTTCAGCAGAGCTGCACTGCAAACTGAAATTCCCTGGGACAGTGTTTTCACAATTTCCCAAACCACAGGTTGTAATTTGTCTCTAAATTCTCGTACACTCTCCAGGGAGGGGGGCGGGGGGACAAATGATAGGTGTATAATAAGTTATTGTTCTTTATTCAGGTGGCTATGTTGACGTGAACCATGATTAAACTGCTTTAAAGTGTCTTTGAAGCTTGAATTTCATTTCAAGGCTATTGTATGTTTCCTTCTGCAGGGTTAGGTAAAGTGAATGAAAAGCTAAAAAATGGTGAAGATTTATCTGCCAATGACTTTAAATCTCTTGATGAATCTTCAATCAATGATGAAGATCAATGTAGCAAGAACAAACAAAGTGTGCTTAAATTTAAAACACCAATATTGGTGAAAAGTCATTCAAATGCAAATAATTCCCCTTCATTATTTTCTCCTCAGGATTATGAAATGCAGAAAGGTAATTTTTTATCTCTTTATTTTGATAATTTTTAATATAATATGCTAATATTGAGATGACCACAGATGAAGAATTGTATATATGACTGAAGTTAAAACTTCCTGGGGAGTGCAACAAGGAAACAGTCGTGCAGAAACAACAGAAATCAATCTCTTTGTGGGATAGATTTGTACCACCCAAAGCCACCATATCCTTTGATGCTTTATAGCTTGGTTTGTATATATACTTGTAAACTAGGCAGTTGCGATATTGAAAAAAATCGATATTGAAAAAAAATATCGATAATATTGACTATATCGAATTATGCAAATGAGAAAATGTAATTTAGTCAACTTGCATGTATATGCATCACAAACAGTTAAAAAGTGCATGAAACCAGTCATGGTACGTCTCAAAGATTTATTAACAATGGTTTATTACAAGCCTAATGGTTTCACAGTACAATTGTTTAATATATATAATGTTTATAAATTTTCTGCGAGAAACACTATAACATGTTTGCCTGACTTGGCTTGAAGTATACTCGCTTTGCCATAACTACAGTATCTGTCTTTGCTAAAAAGTCTTTCAGTTGGAGCACTGCTCGCCGGAATCGCCAGATATCGTCGGACATATTGCTACAGGAGAGGAAAATTATTCTCATTTTGATACCTTGTTTTTAAACCTGCGTCAATACGCGTCAAACATTATTATTCAAATCATTGCGAATTCCATCTTTAGGAGTCATCACAAAACTATTGTTTTCAAGCATTCATTTCCGCTGCTTGGTGATCTGTGTTCACAGTTTCTCCGTTTTCCCATTTAATTTCAATTGCCCACGCACTTGTATCATAAATTCGCAATTGCCGCCATACAGGCATACACACGTTGTCTAAACTTCACCGCGGTGAAAACAATAATTGCCGAATAATCGGAGATTAAGTTGTTTAAGTTATTTAGTTACAACTTTCGATATTTTCGATATGCGAAATATCGAATATCAATATTTTTGAAATATCGATATTTATCGAAAATATCGATATATCGCAACTGCCTATTGAGTATTGTAAACAATCATATATACTGTACCTGCTTTTCGTGTAACGTTTCCTCCAAGCCTGAAAATAAATTTCCAAGGGTGCCTGGCAAAGTGTCAGGTACCAACTGATTGGTGCCTGATACTGGACATTTTGTGCCTGACAAAAAATATTAACGCAACAGAGCAAATATAGTTTTTCGTGGTCCTTGAAATAAAAGAAGCCAATGAAAAGCTTAGTAACAACAATTAAGCCACTAGTCAATTATGTCATACGGAATGGAACAATCATAAATTTCACAGCATCTTCACAGGCATATTGTCTTAATGTTCATATGCGATGAATTTTGGACATACACATAATTTTTAAATGGAGAATGCAAATATTTTGAAATATTTTAACGAAATTTTTAATGCCAGTTGTAGGCAGTTTCACCAATAGCTGTATTAATATGCTGCCGGACAAACTGTCCGGCAAAAAACCAATTGTGCCGGACAATTACCCTTTCATACCGGACAATGTCCATGTCTGACCGCTTATTTTCAGGCTTGGTTTTCTCTCAGTTTTATCAGATTGCATCTTTGATACAGGTCCCTTCAGCTCAACACCATTACCTGGGAAATTAGTTTGTGCAGCTGAATTTAGAATCACTCCAAAGACAACCAAGAAAAATTCCCAAAATGGTTATCAGACACCTGAGTGTAAACTGCTGGGTTATACACCTTACAATACAAAAACAAAAACACAAAAGGTATTGAAAATTTTTTTGACTATTCAAACTTGTTTAGCTTGTTATTGTCAATACCAACATTCGCACTGTTATACATACTGTATTATGTGTATTCATAAAACAATTTGCGTGAATACTTTAATAGTTTACTAGTGGCTGGGCACTTGGCAAAATTGTTGGGGTGCAAGTTTTAGTTTAATGCCAAATATCTTTCTCAGTCTAATTTTAATTTGCTGCTTAAATTGCTCAGTCTTCTTAGCTTAAATTTAATGCAAATGGAAGATCCCAGCAAGATTAATTCGGGTTGTAGAAACCATTGCCATTGGTACAGTGCAGCTTCTTTACACAGTTCATCAGCTGTTATGGGGCAGACCCCTCCCCCTCTAGTATCTCCCACTAAATATCATTAACCCTAATTTAAATGGCAATGCACCCTGATGCGCTCTACTTTAGTATTTTACTCTGTCTAATGCCAGACGAATTTACTCATCAAGTGGAGAGTGCTGCACTGCTGCCACTCAATCGGTTAACCAAACATTAGTTAACAAATTGCCCATGCATCCCCTTAACCCTTTAAAAACGCGGGGAAAAACGCGGGAGAACAAGCGAAAACTGCTTGACAAGCCAAATTCAGATGCTATTATATCAACTTTAACGGCTGGTGTCTTGTTGCTTTTTGCGATTTATAACGATTTTTGTGTGTATTTTAAGCCTTTGTGCCCGCAACGAAAGCGGTAAACGAGTATATTATAAAAGCGACCGGTTTTTCTCCCGTTTTTGTGTGGAAAAAATGACAACGTAGCGACAGTGTTTATCCAGAAGCGAAAAACAGTATTTTACTGAGATTTTAACGTCAATATAAAGGTTATTCCGTGAAAAATCAAGACAACTATGGAATGAAAGTATAATTTTTCGAATTTGACATTAATATGAAAGAAAACAACAGGTCAAAAATCACAAGAGAACGTCAAATGTTATTGATTCGTACGGAAAAATATGAACTATGGGCATGGCTGTGGCTCAATAACATTCTGCAAGCAGCTTACAAGTTTAAAAAATGAATGCTACATTACCTGACTGCATGAGTTGTAATCTTATTTCTTCAACAATACTTACGATTTTGGTGTTGTATAGACGTTTTGTAGTTTTGTTGGTTGTTTGTTTTGGCCGTACAAACTTGGCAATAATACAAAGCCAAAGGTTTTCGATTGACCCCAGCATCTTTTGCTTTAAATATCGTGTTATATTTTCTCAGAAGTATTTTTTTCAACTTTCTAGCTCAGTTTTATAGCTATTATTTTCGAAAAAAGCCGTAATATTCACGAAAAAAAAGCTGCCATAGCCGACAGCAAAAAAACATTTTGTCAACTTTCCCGCGTTTCTTCCCGTATCCTGGGATACAAGGCCTTGATCACGATTTATGAATAAGGTCTATGGGTTAATTGTTCAATGAAATTGTTCCTGTGTTTATTAAGTTGTCTGCATCTCTTGCCATGGATCCCTTGGAACAAATGAATTTATCATGGAGCAGTTCACTTGCCACTCCACCTGGTCCTGGATGTCCAAAACAACAGTCAATGAACACCATTCTGGACAGTGAGTATTCTTTCATAAATGTCAATTAATTCTAATTCTGTTAAAATAATTCTATTAATTTAACAGGTCACACTGAGATAAATAAGATGGTGTTTGTAATTGTACTGTACCTGCTGGCCTATAGCCTATTCTAATGTACTGATTTTATTCCTTGACATCAGGAAAATGTTCGTTTGAGCTCAGCGAAATTCAAATGGAACAATTGGACACCATTAGAGTTGAAAATCCATCAGAAGAATTAGACTCCATTAAAGTTCAAAGCAAATTCAAATCAAAACCCAAGGTAAATATTCGATATTTTTTACTTGTTTATTAGTTTAACATGCGTTGTTGAGAGCTTGACAGTCCTAGAGTCGTGATAGTAATTTGAATTGTAAGAATAACATTTGAAGAGGAACTTGATATATAGCTAAATTCAAAAACATTGTTAATGTCGTAAAATTCAAGTAAATTGTTAATGTTGTACAAGCGATAGACAAATACAGTACCTTGTGCAGATCGACGGATTTACTAATATATTTAGGGTTTTTAAAAACCATATTTCAGACCGTGATATTTCGCTGAAACACCATGTTCATATCAGTGCCACTATGATTTGTGAGTACAGGTGGATTTATACTCTCTATTTCATTTTTAGGGCGTGGCTAGAATTTTGTTTGAGAAAGAAATAAAGAGCGTTAGAGATGTCGAGACAAGCAACGATCTTTCTTTTGAAAATTCCAAAATTAACGGAAACGAAATACAATGCCAAAATATGTCAGAAGATAGTGGTCATAGAAAACCCAATGAAGATGCTCAGGCAGGTGTTAATAGTTTGAACCACTTTGATATGTCATCCCTATCACCACTTCAAGAAAAAGCTATCAATGAACTTTTTGCTTTGGCAGATACACGCAGGTCGCCAGGAGGTGGGTGCTGACTTTAATGGTTTAAGTATTTGCAAACTAAGAAACGTTGTGAGTAAATTACCATTACCAGTTCTTCAGTTTTCTACTAAAATTGTTCACGAAAGTTTCGGTTTTGTTCATCGAAAAGAAAAACGTTTAAGGCAATCAATTCAGTCACACATACCGTATAATTGTACCTAGTATACACAGGTGAAATTGGTTTCCTATTTTTATACAAATTCTTAGTTCGTGTACGCTTTTCCTTCTTAGACAATGTTTTGCAACATTTCATTTATTATTCCAGGAATAAAGACCATCTCGAATTTGATTAAGAACACCTTGGGCATCGGAGAAGAGAAATCAACATTGGAAAAGGCTTTCATGAGTGAAGTTGTGTATGAAGTAAACAATGTTCGTAATCACCTTGCTCTTAACAGTATAAAAGAACATGCTGAAGAAGCTTCCGAAAATGATCCAGATGTTAATAATACTATAAACGAAAATGTAAAGACTGATAAAGATTTTAAAAATCTTATCGACATGGACGCTTTAAGCGAGTTTCCAATGGACTTTGATTTATCCCATCATATAACCGTACCAAGTACATCAAACCAAGGAGAAAATGTACACGCTGAAATTGACAATGTTAATAGTATTAGTAATAATGATGATAAGGGCCTTACCAAGAACTTGGGTTTACATTTGGTACCTGATGGAAAGACTGAGCCTGTTTTGAAAAACAGCGTTGAAGGTCCAGATGTGGATGCCAGTGAAATTTCTTTGACTGACGAACTGCTCGATAACGAAGTGAATAAACCTGAGGCAAAACGAAGTGACAATTCATACGATATGGACGCTTTAAGCGAGTTTCCTATGGATTTTCATTTGTCTCAGAATATTAAAGTGCCAGATCCTGATTATGGTAATTGCAATAAAGATGACAGTAGACTTACCAGTAACAGTGACGCAAAGTGTATTGTGGTAGCTGGACAAAATGAGACGTCGACAAGGAAGATGGAAACAGCATCTCAAGTGCTACGAGATTTATCTCTGCGACAATTGTCTGATATTACTTTCGATGAGCAAGGTTCGTCGCATGGAGAATCAAAGTCACAAATAATTCGATCGCCAGAGTATGCGGGGCAAAATGTGCTAAAACATGACAAAGAAGTTAACAAAACTTTAACAGTTCGAACTTTTGAGGATGAACAAAACGGCAAATTGAAAATCGTCAATTGTTTTGATGTGGGAAAGTGTCAAAATGGAAAGTCTTTGAATCCTTTTGTTGGCTTTTCAACTGCCTCAGGAAAGAAAGTGACAATTTCTGAAAAGTCGATGCACAGAGCCAGACAACTTCTAAATGAAGTAAATAAGGAAGAGAAAAATTATCCTGAAGTTGATGGAACGGTTAGTGGGAAAGTTGGAGTTTCAGGTTTTAACAGAAGAAAAGTGGGTGGTCAGACAGGTCAAGTTAATAAACCAACAGAAAAAGCAGTTAGCGTTGGGTTCTGTACAGCTTCGGGGGGAAAAGTTGACGTTTCTATGAAATCATTAAATAAGGCCAGGCAAATTATACATGATGTTATTCAAGAAGAAAGTAAAGAATCTAAAGATGTCAGAAAGAGTGTTAACGTGTCAGGCATTGGCGTCTCACCTGCTTTGAAAAAGAAATTTGAAGTACCGAGCTTTATGTCAAATGATGGTGGGGTTAATATTAATGAGAAGGAGAATGATAAATTAGAGTCACCCGACAAGCAAAGACAAAATACAGCAAATGACTTTAAATTTTCCACGGCCTCTGGTAAGGAAGTTAGAATTTCTCAGAAATCACTCATAGAAGTTAAAAAATCAATTTTGGATGACTTTGAACACGTGCCTGAGCTTTCCCAAGATTTCTTAAAAGATGTTGACAACATTTTTATCGATCTTGAGAAAGAAACGTGTCCTTCAGAAGGAGATAAGGCACAAGGCGATAAGTCAAAAGCAGACATGAACGAAGGTGAGGGACCAAGTGTTATTCGTGGCCGACGTGGCGCTTGTGCAATGGAAGGTGGATATCTTGGTAATGCTAAACATATTCCCAATGAAAATGGCGAGAGTGGTCGGATTTGTCGATTAGAAACATCTTTAAAGCCAGACAATGCAAATTATGGATTTTTACCTGCGTCTGAAAAAGTAGTCGCACAATCTGAGGAATCATTAAAGAAAGGGCTAACACACAGTGAACATGACGGAAAGCAATCTGGTGGAGCACCAGGCACCAATATAGGAGGTCAAATAGACACACCACAAAAGAGTGTTACTGGAAAATCCCTTGATCGAAATGAAGTTGATAAAATTCTGGCCGAAATGAAGCCACCGGTTGTTTCCGCTGCGTCCGAGAACATTGCAGAAAGGGTGGGAAGAGAAGAAGCGGTAAAGAATCATGCTCTTGTAGATTGTCGTGATGTTAAAGCACAAGGAGATACAGAAATTAACGCTGGCATCGGGTTTTTTATTGCATCTGACAAAAAAGATGAAATTTCTCAGTATTCTTTACAGGTTATAAATGAATCAGATACATTTAACATCAAAGGCCAAGCAATGAACGTGGTGTTGAAGACGAATACTGTCTCTGGAAATAAAATTACTGTTTCTGAAGAGCTGATAAAGAAGGCTAAAGGGATTTTAAGTGATACAGAAAATGAAGATTGTTCTAAGAATGGTAAGTCATTTATTAACAAGATTCCAAATTTTGGGTTTTCTACTGCTTCAGGAAATGAAAGTACGATTTCCGAAGAATCGCTGAAGGAAGCCCAAATGATTCTGAACGAAGTAGACAACGAAGGACATCAGTCGGCGAAAAAAGCGACAAATAACAAACACAACATTCCATGTTCTACAGCATCTGCCAAAAATAAACCTGTAGGTTGTACTACTGCTTCTGGAAAGAATGTCACCGTTTCTGAAGCGTCGATACAGAAAGCAAAACGTTTGCTAAGTGATAAAGAAAATGTAGATTGTTCTAAGGAGCGAACGACGATTGGAAAAATTCAAAAGTTTGGGTTTTCTACTGCTTCAGGGAAAGAAATTTCCGTCTCCGAGGAATCGCTGAAGAAAGCCCAAATGATTCTGAACGAAGTAGACAACGAAGGACATCAGTCAGAGAGAAAAGTGACAAATAGAAAACACAATATTCCATGTTCTACAGCATCTGCCAAAAATAAACCTGTAGGTTGTACTACTGCTTCTGGAAAGAATGTCACCGTTTCTGAAGCGTCGATACAGAAAGCAAAACGTTTGCTAAGTGATAAAGAAAATGTAGATTGTTCTAAGGAGCGAACGACGATTGGAAAAATTCAAAAGTTTGGGTTTTCTACTGCTTCAGGGAAAGAAATTTCCGTCTCCGAGGAATCGCTGAAGAAAGCCCAAATGATTCTGAACGAAGTAGACAACGAAGGACATCAGTCAGAGAGAAAAGTGACAAATAGAAAACACAATATTCCATGTTCTACAGCATCTGCCAAGAATAAACCTGTAGGTTTTACTACTGCTTCTGGAAAGAATGTCACTGTTTCTGAAGCGTCGATACAGAAAGCAAAACGTTTGCTAAGTGATAAAGAAAATGTAGATTGTTCTAAGGAGGGAACGACGTGTGGAAAAATTCAAAAGTTTGGGTTTTCTACTGCTTCAGGGAAAGAAATTTCCGTCTCCGACGAATCGCTGAAGAAAGCTCGAAAAATTCTTAACGAAGTAGACAGCGAAGGACATCAATCAAAGAGGAAAGAGGCAAACGAAAAACACAAAATTCCATATTCAACAGCAACTGTCAAAAATCCACCTGTAGGTTTCACTACTGTCTCTGGAAACAAGGTCAACGTTTCTGAAGCAATGATACAGAAAGCAAAACGTTTTGCAAGTGATAAAGAAAATGAAGATTGTTCTAAGAAAGGAAGGTTGTTGAGCAAGATTCCAAAGTTTGAGTTTTCTACTGCTTCAGGAAATGAAATTGCGGTTTCCGAAGAATCACTGAAAAAAGCTCGAAAGATTCTAAACGAAGTAGACAACGAAGGAGATGACTTGGAGAGCAAATCAGTAAATGAAAAACACAGCAGTCCAGTTTCAACAGCATCCGCCACAAATGCGAAAGTAGGTTTTACTACTGCCTCTGGAAACAATGTCACCATTTCTGAAGCATCGATACAGAACGCTAAAAGAATGTTAGATGATAAAGTAAATGAGGAAGAGAGATCCTTGGGAAAGGTTCTTAAGTTTGGGTTTGCTACTGCTTCAGGAAATGAAATAGCTATTTCTGAGGAATCGCTGAAGAAAGCTCGAAGAATTCTGAACGATGTAGACAACGAAGAACCTCAATTAGACCACAAAATGGGAAAACCAGGTGTTGCTACAAGAACGAATATTCGAACGAATATTCGAAATTCTCGAGAAACTGAGAATGTGTTAGATAGTGCAAATTCTAATGATCATAAATCTGATGTTTGGCTTGCTTCAACATCTCAAAAAGACATTCCAAGATCAGGAAAGTCCTTGTGTGATAAGACAAGTTTAACCCCAAAACAAACAGTAGAAAATGAAAATGACATTGAATGCCGAAGGACACACAAACGATTGTTGTCTGAAATTGAGAGTGAAAATGGTAAGATTAATGTCTACTTTTATCACATTTATAATGTATTCTTAGGGGGGGGGGGGGGGTGCAATGTTTTAAAATTAGTTTGTCTTTAGATTTGTATAATACGGTCAACGTTGATTTCTTTATTTTTAAACTATAGCTTTCGATTTGGCCAGTTAGTGTAAAACAATAATGTGTGATTTACACGAAGTAGAAAGCATGATATCAAGAGCTTTAGTTTGAAATATGATTGAACGTTGCCTTATAAATACATATGTATTAATGAGAATCGCTATATTATATCGATGTGAAGACAAAGTAGTTTTAACTCGAGCTCATTGTAATTTTCGGCTCCGTGTGTATAGGTATGATAACCATTGATAAAAACATCAAACGATCGGCCAAACATTAGAGAGGTTCAGATTGACTACCGCTACCATTAATTAATGGACTATAAACCAATCAGATGCGTTTGATATATCCAATTAACTAAGCCGAGCGTTGTAGTGGAAGTCAAGTCTGAACCTGTCTATTTACGTACTGGCAGAGAGTACCCAGTTTAATATATGCACAGGAGGGTTAATAAGGAAACATTTTGCTTGTTCACGGCATTTCACTTTGTTTTACTGATGTTAGGTACTCCACTGACGTACAGTATTAATTTTACACTATGTGTAACCCAAATTACTATAATTTTACCGCAGGTCGGGCATGTAAAGCTTGCAGAACTGACAAAGAAACGGAAACGGTTGGTTTTATTTTTTTATTCATTCTAAGAACTCTTTCAAGAATTATTTGAAATGCTACAATATCATGAACTGTGTTTCTGTGAAAGTGGTTTTCAAAGTAACTACGCATGCCCTTATGCTACGTGCCCTGCTTGTACCTGTATAACGTACTGAATTGCTATAGTGGTGCAATCGAATGTTATGTTTCCGGAATTGTATTCTGTTTCCAAATGCACATTCCAAAACTTTGTCTTTATCAGTTATTATTAATTATTATTATTATTATTAACTATATTATCATTAACATTTTATCGCATACCTTTTTTTCTACAGAGAAAGGATGGAAATAAATGGATGAGATTCAAAAGATTTGATCCATTAGGTAACTGTAGCTTAAAGAAATACGCAGTAATTTTTTGTATAGGTAATAGAGTGGTTTTGAGTACAATTTGGAAAAGCATGCACTGTAGTAGTTAGTTTTTCAAAGACGACTATCAAAATCCCACGAGTAGGTTTTGGCACTGTATTTCAATACAATTACACTGCTCTTAGCCAATCAGAACTGAGTAATTTTTATATATCTTATTAGTGTGATTATAGTTTTCTTATTCTGCATGTGTTTTTGTTATTGTGATATATTACTTTGGAATTTAGCTTTTGGTAACTTTTGGGTAGATCCTGCGAATGAAATCTAATTTCTGTAGTTCATTCTTTTAAACCAGTTGTTCTTTAATTGTTTAAATCATGGACAGTCGACTACCTTTTATATAATTATCTAAACTCTAAGATGTGGCAAATATGTATAATTTTCCAAAAAGAGATGGGTGTAAGAGGTGTAACCATTTAAGTAGATGGTCCGGTGAGTCTTTATAGAGACTTATTGTGGTGAAAGTTTGTTAAGTCTTTCTGCCATTTGTTAAATTATCATGACCTACAAATTGTGTTACTTTACGACAAAACTTTTATATCGCAAATGCTACATAACATATTTTTGAAGACAATAGTCTTCACATGTTGTGAATTACTTCACAAAAAAAAGCAAAGTTATTTTTTTATTTCTAGTGACGTATAAAGATAGAAAGCGTTCCAATAACCCATCACGAACCATTGCTGTGTCGCCTAATTTGGAGAGCACCAACCAAGTAGCCTCCTGGTAAACAGAATTAATCTTAATTTTTCTTCAAGAACTTTCACTTCCGTTTATAATATAATTTAAAATAATTTGGAATATGAAAATTATTTGCAATAATTAATCTTTTCATAAATCCTTCGTCAATTCTGTCTTGCTCTTTGGCATTCTTTAACAACATCCCGGTAAAATTGATGAAAGTAGAGAAATTCCACGAGGTCTATTTGATCATTTTTAGAAACATGGTGAGTACCTGTAGGTTGAGGATATTTGATAATGTATAAATGAAAATAAAGGACGAGTTTCCATATGGAAAATCCTGAATTGCGGCGTATGTGAACGGCTAAAATTAGCTAATTCATTATGCGATGAAAAATGTCTTTAATACCTACTTTATTTTTCCGGTCCATAACTCCAGGTCTGCAATGTTAATGGAGTCTTCTGATTGGTTCGTATTACAAGATAGTATATGATACGGACCTCTACCGTTTCGTGTCAAAACAAACTGAGGGGTGAAGACAATTTTCGAATTGAAAAAACTATTCAAAAAGCTGAAAAATCCTCCCTATCGATACTAAGGATAGAAATTGACTTCAATGGACTACCAAAATGCGGAAGAAACCCAATATTTCTTTGACATAAATTTGAAAAACCAGAGTAAATGTTTTGTCTCAATTGCTTAATATGTTATACTGTGAATTTCAGCACTTGATTTCTTGCTATACCGTATTTAGACTTGCTCTTTTATTACAGTGATCAACTTGTTGATGTAAAAACTCCGATTAACGCCAAATCCAAATCGGGTTCCCATTTTATAACACCTTATCGAGCCGCCGAAACCATTGTGAAGCAGGGGAAAGAGTCCGAAAATAACCCGAGACCAAATAGTGCAAATACGCCATTGAATGGTTGCTCTAAATCGGGGGGAAAGAAAACAAAGAGTGCAAAGCAAGAAAATAAGGTAAATTTAATTTTAAGTACCAGCATACTAAAAATTTGGCACCCAGTCATCAAAGCTTTATAAATTATACATCATGAGTACAGTATACATACAGTATATACAGGTAGATAAATGGACTGAGGAGTGTGATGCATGATGGGAACGACGAAGAAATTTGATCATTCCAATCATGCACTATTATATTTTTTAATCGGGACTAGGTACAAGTCAGAAGCTGGAACATTAAAAATCGTCTATTATTCATGATTGCCACTTTAAAGTGTACACTGTAAAATAAAATTGGTTAAAATAACCCATAAGTTGGTTATCTCAGTTTGATTTGTTTTTACAGTGTATTCGCAGAGAAATTAAAGTTCGTACTGAAAGAACTTTCAAACTGAAGAATGCCGAATTTTCATATCTTCCCTTATGACATATCTTATTTTATTTGATGTGTAAATAAGATGACGTCACAAGCGGGGTGAATATTTTACAGTGCACATAACTCTTATAAATTCTTAAAACTTTTTCTGTGCAAATTGGCCAATGCATGCATGGAATGATCACTGCGGTATAGGTTTGAAGGCTTTCTTCACACTTTTGAACAGTTTTATGGCTTAGACGAGACGGCCGTCTTTGAAAATTTTTTAATCCGCTGGTGATGTCATAAATTTACATATCGAAAAAAGATGAATTGTCTATATTTAACCCTTTAATTAAATGTTTATTTATCTGTCATTACCATGCACACATGCAGTAACAGCTTACGACCTGGCCTTGCAATGTTTGCCATTTTTGGGTGGCAAAAACACGCAACGACAGGGGATGAAAAAAAGCGAAGAAGCTAGTGATTTTAGTGAAGTAAATAATAATTATAAACAATATTAAGATTTTAGGCATATGTAGCTACTGTATATACTAGATGGATGTATACTGTATAGTTCCTCCTGCAGAGCGCTACACGCAGGACCGCAGGTTGGATTCCTGCCGGAGGGTGTAAAATTCCAATAGTATTATGTTTTTACATTAAATTCACTCTCTCTTGTTGCCCCCTATTTTCCCTGTGCTGTTTGCCAGCCAAAGATGACGGACGAAGCCTGGACGCATGGCGTGGGAAAGATTAATTGCATTGTTGGTTTCTAAAATAGTTTGCTTGGTTAGATAAATGGTTTTGTATCCTTGGTTATTGATTACAGTATCTTTACTCTAATTTAAAGTTTTATCATATTTGTTCAGGAACGTTTAGTGAAACCACAGCCTGGTTCCATCTATAAATTAAGGACGAACGCCTGCTCCAAGTCGAAAAGGATATCTTTTGCTGAATATGTTAGCAATGTAGATCAGCAGACATCTGATGAGGTTTGTGTTGTACTTGAATACATGCAGCAATATCGCGGAAAGGATGTTAAACTCTAGTGCATACACTAGGATCTGCGTTCCAATGTGATAATATACTAAAGCTGTCTGTACCAGTGTAGGTAGTACCAATGTAGAAATGCTGTGCTGAATGGTTATATTACTACCGATGGAAGGCGGGAGGCAGCACTTTCCTTGCGATAGTAATTTCTAGTATTACTACCTTAAAAAATAAGCAGAAACTCGACGTTTCGAGCGAAGGCCCTTCGTCACTCTTGACGAAGGGCCTTCGCTCGAAACGTCGAGTTTCTGCTTATTTTTTAAGGTAGTAATATAACCATTCAGCATAGAATGTGATAATAATCACTATTAACCAGGAAAGTAAGTTTGTTCAGAAACTATCGTTGTATAAAATAAAAAAATTCTAAACGGAGCTGAGTCCCTACATATATCCATGCAGCTCCGCCTGGATTACAAAATTTCTTTCGACGATATGCATATATAGACAGTGCCGAAGTGTACAGTTATTAAGCTCCTGCTGCTATATATGTACCATCATTTCCTTTGCTATATAACCACTGTCTGTAGGTATGCAGAGTGTAATTGTTAATGGGGAGTGGGTTAGTAATGTGGGAATATGACTTACCCTTGCGAAATCCGAGTATGACTGACTTTTATGAAATCAGCCTTGGCAAGACCGATAACCTGAATGTCAGCTGCACGATTTTCCCTTTTAGCGTCAGGCGGGATAAATACTGTATAGCCCTAATATCCAGGTTATTATAGACCAAATACTTACACTGCATTGTTATAATAATGTATTTTTCATTCCCCGCGAATTCCCGTTTGACGCCAATATCCTCTTTCCTCCGCAGAGGCTTTTAAAGGATTGATTTACAAAGTACTTCGTTAACGTAATTGCGCTGGAAAGTAAATGTAAGTAAAGATGAAGGTAACTTCTAGCGCAATTCCCGTTATACGAAATCCTTTCTAAATTGATTAATCCTTTAAAACGTCTCTGCGGAGGAGAGAGTCAATATCCTATAACAGTTCTTGTTTTTTTAGCCTGAAAGACATGGAGTAAGTCCCTCTGTCATGTGGATCACCTGCGAGAATGCAGAATCATATCGGTTTAAAGGTTCAGATTTTCTCAGTGAAGATATCTCTGCTACAAATACTGGAGTTACATGCACAGAAGGCGCAGTTCTGTTCCTTGGCGAAGATAAATGTGCTGGACTTCCGGAATTTACAAAGTAAGTTTGTCAAAGTATTACACAATGCATAGTTATTTTCCCTATTCTCATATGCATAGTCAATAGGATGTCTTCAAAACTATATTGGCGGACATTGAAATTACCAAAATACAACTATAACATTAGTGCGGCTAATGCCCAAAAGAGAATAATGAGAATGCTTTTTAACGGTAGAGATCTTATATAATCAACATTCCTTACTCTAAGCATTTTAACTTTTTAGTTTTCTTTATTCATGCCTTTAACCAACCATGCACCTCTCCCTATGAGAAAGTACCCTGTGTACGAGGTGGGCGTTTATTATACAGATGCTCTCATGCTAAGGACTGTGTTTACCGTGTTTATTCTACCGTTACCGTGCTTTGATCAATGATTCAGGCCCCTATCGATATATTAAAAAATATGCCCTGCACAATCGGGGCTTTCATATACTGTATAATCTTTTTAAGTAAGCGGCTGTGGCTGAATATTTTTAACTATGTAATAATGAAACAATTTTTGTATTAGAAGTGCTGTCAGCTTTTTTGTACATTTTTTGATAGATCAATTATGTTAGCTGAATGCTTTAAGCCTAGTTACAGTATTCTTCAAGTTCTTGGCAAAAGGCACAGTATGCCAGTTAAGCCAACAATACTATAGGATGAATGCAGAAAGAGCAAAGAAATTTCCAGCAAAAATTTCTTCGTTATCGCATTGGTAGTTTTAGTTGTAGTTGTAGTTGTAGTTACATAGTCCTTGGTTTTTAGCCATTAGTTTAGCCAAATCTGACTTTATTAGTTTATTCTTGCTATTCCTTTGTCTGTTTGTCATTGGTTAAAGGCGAGATAGATGCGTAGTATATTATAAAGAAAGTAGCCGGCGGTAAACCTCATAACACCCGCCAGAGCTCCGGCAGCCGCCGTCTTGTTTTGAAAGCCCTGCATTAGGGGTGATGCTACTCATATACTACTTCAAACACTCATTAATAATTCATAAGCTTATTGGCAAATCATGTCAACCATAATATGTCACTTGCAGTGGCTTTAAACCTGATAAAACGCTCCTAATTAGTATTCTTTATATAAAGAATACTAATAAGGCAGTATCTATTGTAGTCGTGTCCTTATTAGTATTCTTAATATAAAGAATACCAATAAGGCAGTATATCTATTGAATTTGTAGTCTTGTTTGAAGCCGTTTAATAAACTCGCAGGTCGTGTTTTATTAGGTCTAAAGCCACTCGCGCTGCGCGCTCGTGTGGCTTTAAACCTAATAAAACACTCCTGCTCGTTTATTAAACACTACTTAACAATGATACATTATAAAGGCTCGTTTACACAAGCAATTTTTGCTGCGATTTTAGGTGCGATTTACTACTCCTGATGTATGTGAACGAGTGGATGAGTTAGGAATGTTTAGATGAGGGTCTCGTTCACATCCATGCATCAGAAGAAGAAAATCGCACTAGAAATCGCAGCCAAAATTGCAAGTGTAAACGGGACTTAAAGATAATTTGGCGAACTACTGTATCTAAAGGAAGTAAAATAAAATAAAGAGTTTATCATTCATGTATAGAGCGTTTCTATCATCTCCTGGAGTCGATCCTAAATTGATAAGCGAGGAATGGATTGCAAATCATTATAAATGGATTATATGGAAGTTGGCGTCATATGAAAGGTCATATCCTCAATCATTTTCTGGAAGGTAATCTATATATACTTTAAAATAACTGTAATATATAACTAAGTGGTGTGCGTGTCCATGCATGTCAAGGCGTAAAAATACACATTAAGCATAAAGATGCTTTCCTCGCGTTTTCACGGATCCGACTGGTTCTGTTGTATCAGAGATTGTTACGCATTGCAGAATGAAATGTAAATAACTGAAGAATAAAATTATTCTGTTTCTGCTAGTTGTATGTTGTACTGTATGTTTATCTGTATGTTAGCTTTTACCCAAATGAGCGACAAGTTGCCGATTGAGCATCACCAACTATACAATAAACGAAAACTACATCCAGCAATTACGACGTCCGGCAACTTGTCACAGACGCGTGTACATTTAGCGTACCTGTTTTTAATTTGTTTTTCCAGAACTCTCACTCCCGATATGGTGCTGAGTCAGTTGAAATATCGTTACGATAGAGAAGTTGATCATTGTGAACGGTAAGATCGTTGACTTTAAGACAGGGAGCGGGCCAAAGTTCTTGCACATTCTCATTCACTGCCCAGTTTTTCTGGCATTGAAAGGCTTTTATGCTAACCATGCTTTAATTCCTATACTATAAATATATCTGTATATTACCAATTTTTTTAGTTCTGCCATCAAGAAAATTTTGGAACGGGATGATAGTTCCTCTCGAAGTATGGTTCTATGTGTCGCTAGTTTGGACGTAATAAGTTCTGATAAGAACAATGAATCAGAAATCAATTGTCAAAATAAAAACGTTGAGGTAGGGTATCATCTCCCTTTTTACAATTGCGACTTCATAGCCCCCCGGGAAGTTTTATGACGTCTTAGGGTCCCCTGGGAATTTTTTCCCCGGTTCCCGGGCACCCTCTCGGCGGTCCTGATTAAAGGATTGATGTCGTACGCAACGAAATTGCTTAGATGTACTTCCATTTCATTTCATTTATTAATGTTTCACTTTTTATGCGAGCCAGTGTAGAAAACCAATGTCGATTATGTGTTACCAATTTGACCTTTAAACCTTGCATATTTTCTATTGTCTTTATACTTTCATTTTCATTTATCACATCAAATTTTCTTTTCCGTATTTCCTCCAATCTCGTACCCAGAGCAATGCCTGTGCGCGGAAGGCATTGGCTCTGGGGAAATAGACAACTGGAACCCCTAAATTTAGGGGTTCCAGTTGTTGTCGGCATGCATTATTGATAAACGTTAAACCAATCACAACACAGGAAAACTTATATTTCCCCAGAGCCAATGCCTCCCTCGCCCACGCACAGGCATTGCTCTGGATACGAGAGTGTATTTCTCTGATTTCTTTGTACTATTTTATGATGACGAGGCCTTTAAATTGAGTTAATTACGATCTTTTATTAGCTACAGAGGGTAATTCTGATGACAGATAGCTGGTACAGCATTCGTGTGCAACTAGACGAGTACCTACAGAACTTGGTTAGAGAAAAAAAAATTTACGTAGGACAAAAGTTGTACATACAAGGTGCAGAGTTGTGTGGCTCCGATCAAGCTGTTTCACCTCTTGAGGTTTGTGAACAACTGCATTGTGTCTAGCTGTGGGGTTGAAGTCTCCCCAATATCAATTTCAGGTCACCAATATCAATTTCAGGTCCATGCATTGAGGGATGATAATACTCTACTGTATATAAGCATGAACGAACCAACATGTAAATCTAAGGACTGAAAGAAGTATAGATTAGTGGTCTTTGCATGGTCAGGTTAGAGAATGCGATAGGTTTTTACCAGCGGCTTTGGTCATTAAATGCATTCTTCAAATGATTACGTTAATTGTACCATTAGTTTGGAATTGATCGCAACTATTGTTTATCTAAGATATGTGAACGTGGTTAACATTAACGCCCATTTCCACTCAGGAGAATTTTCCGCAGAAAGAAAATTTTGTGAAATGTGATTGGCCGACACGTTAAAAATTTTCAACTTTTAACAATGACATTTTCGGACAATTTTCTGTCCGTGGAAATTTTTCTTGCGTGGAAATGGGTCTTTAGTGTGGTTTAGTGAAGTTTAATTTCATGCATTTTACCTTCTTGAAGTGAACGACTGTTATTACTGCTGTGCCTTGTGATTGTATCGAATGTTGTAGCTTTAATTCTTTTTTATAATTTTCGTCAGTATTTTTCACTCAATTTTCTCGACTCTTACTTTTCAGGCGCCTAGTAACCTCCAGCTACGAATCCATGGTAACTCAACTCGTCCAGCGAAGAAATTTTCAAGATTGGGTTTCCATTGTAAAAACAGTATATTTACGGTTCCTATTAAATCTTTGTCGGGAGCTGGTGGTCATGTTAGTTCTATTAACGTCATTGTTGCCAGGCAATACCCTCTACAGGTATTTGGGACTAGGTCAAACATTTTTCGAACAGTGGCGGACACCCGGGAGTGGGGACAAGGTAGAAACGACCCACCCCCAATAAATTCTTAAAAGGGCGGGGGGGGGGATCGAATTTGTACCTCCAATGGTGAGCTTAAGCAAGCGACGTTTTTGTGAACACGAACGTCTCCCGAAAATTGGTATAACTAATTTTGGCGGCATTTTGCATCATAGCGCTCGTATAAGGAAGCAAAAAACTTTTAAAATCTTATGTTTTGTCATATGTGTTGAAGATTAGCACAAATTAATGCCAACACAGTTTTTAATCCAGTCCCCCTTCTGCCACAATTAACGACTTTAATTTGTAATGTTCTTTGGTGAACAATATACGCTTCCGGAAAGTACGTCACCTTGGCTATAGAGCCTCGTTTTCGTGATTGAGACGTGGCCTTTAACTGATGTCAGATACATGAAAACCAGGCTCTATAGCCAAAGTGACGTACTTTCCGGAAGGGTGTATTGTATTATGATCTGTACAATTATTACCTTGAAATGTAGCACAATATGACAATATCAGTTAATCTCTGTTACAATACAAGCTCACGGGAAGCGAAGAATTTCTATAAACTTTAGCAATTTTTATCATCTCCTGGAAATTATGCAGGTAGTTAATAAATTAATCACTTGTTTCAGTTCATGGAAAAGTTGCCAGATGGTAAATGTACTTTCCGCAACCCCAGATGTGAAGAACGTATTGCAAAGAAATTCGAAGACAATGTTCAGAGAAAACGAGAGAAGATTATGTTCCAAGTTCAAAAAGAAATTGACAACGAAGAAACAAAAACTGCAAGGGGTAAGTTTCGATTGCTCTATTCAGGTTGGTGGTTGTCTACAGTTTTAGAAACAGGAAATGTACCATTTAGGTACAACTTTTTGATCATTCTTTTTGGATAAAAAAGAACAGTATCTATTCTTTAACGTTTTCCACTACCGTGTTAGCGTCAATGCTTCGATTGCTGCGTAAATAACTCATTTACCACAAATTCGACAACGTTTTATCAACTCGCAAGTACAAAACGCAAGTATATAATCCTGACATGTTATATTTCAAAGGAACTACAGGAAGAATATCTAATTCCCTATCAACGAACCAAATTGAAAACCTTACTGATGGAATACAAATATTTGACGCCATTAGTAACGCCAGTGATCCATTTCATGTTCAGGTAAGTTGTCCATATAAGTCAGGGTTCGTACAAAACTTGAATGTCTTTGAATTTGAAAACAAAAATTTAAGGCCTTGAATGTCCTTGAATTTGTAAAGAAGTGCTTGAAAGTCCTTAAATTTTTCTTGCTTTAGTTTTTGAATATTTTCTGAAATTGTTTGACATTCAAAATGGACATTTTGTTGAATTGATTTTGCATGTTCATATCTGATTTCTAACCCCTTTTCAGTATTTAAGTCAGTTTTCCACTTTAATCGTACCGAAACGTAGCGTATTTCTTTCTTTCCTGAGCGGTAGTGTGGAACTAATGACTTCGACACAAAAGAAAATGCTACGGTAAGTTGGAACGTGGAAGTGGAAAACAGGCTTTAGTCCTTGAATTTGCTGGTACATGGCCTTGAAGAGTCCTTGAATTTGACTCTTCCTCACACGTACGAACCCTGATAAGCACGTTTTCCCTACAAGCACCCCAATAGTTCATAGTTTTGGTGATGCGATGTCCCTTGAATATCATAGATTAACATACCTTAGCAGTCATGAAATTGCATCGCATGAAGGCAAATATGAGAATTTTGGGCATCTCACTCGATGTAACTCATTGTAGCAGGGTTTCGTTGATGGAAATTTCGAGTGTGAATTTTATACATTTATTACACCTAACCATCCAGGTGATCTCGGAAAAGGCCTGGCACTAGTTATAAAATAAAAATCCATTTCTGGTTTAAAATTACTCAATATCTCATTAACGGTATTACATTTCTATCTCAAATTTGTCCCAGACCTTCATTTCCCTGTGCAAGACACAGACACAAAGTTTCAAACAGTTTCACAAAAAAATCAGGGCATGACAAGTGATTAAAGGTACGAAACTGGATTTCTATTCTGTTGCTATTCCCGCATGAGCAGTTGCAAAAAGGTCTAATAAATGCTTTCGCTTGCAAAAGTTGTTACAGGATTGCAGTAGACACATAGGAGTGTATGGAATTATTGCATGAACCTATCCGGTTCTAGCACTGAGCGTTCTAGCCACCCTTAACTGGGAACATCTTGTTTTTGAGAACGTGATAGAAAACAGTTATCATGACGAAAATTGTCTTGAAACATGAATATAATATTATATGATGCAAAAATATTGCGATCTTTAATCTAACTTCATTAAAATATATATATAATGGTAGAAATGTCTTTCTGATGAGCAAAGAAGAATTCTTGATAGTTACAAGGAGAACTTACAAAATGATCGAGCTGATATTGTGCGTCGTAAATATGAGAAAGCTTGGAGTAAATTGAGTCAAGAGGTAGGTACCTGATGAGATACAGTCTTGAGCGTCATTTTTTTGTATTGTTTTTATAGTTACATAGACTACTGAGTACTGTATACGTAAAGAACATCTAAAAGGTTAATTATTGTGCGTGTTTGTAGGAGACACTCAAACGAAATGTAGTCCCTGTCTTGAAAATGAAACTCGTCGACTGTTTACCATCAAAGACCAACCAAACCCCAGGAAGTATACAATTTTTCTTTTAAAGAGTTCCCTTTTGTTACATTTAGCCTTTGTAATCAATTAGTGTATTGATGATACGGTCCATTCCAGTGGCGTTTCTCCAAACGTACATGCACTGTAACTTATACATTTGTTTGTTTATAGTACACATGCACAGCCGAAAATCTCAATACAGTTTGAGAATTTCGACGATTACTTGTTTCACTAAATTCGTTTTTAGCTGCTTTATTAACCGTATGGAGGCCAAGTGAACAAACCATAACCACGCTGGGAGAAGGAAAACGTCTGAAAATCTATAATCTACAGATGTCAAAGTAAGATATATCAACATTTATCATTAGAATTTTTTGGAATTAATGACCATTTGCATTATAGACTAAATTTTGATCTAGACAAAAATTTCATCACAGCTTGAAAGAGCATCACAAAATTAGTAATATTCCAAAGTTTCGTTGCGAAATGTTGTAAAATGCGGATAATATAGCCATGTGAAGTTTGCCGTTTTTCAGTCATTTTGTATACGCACGGGAAATTGACAGCCCAATCGGGTGTTGGGGCATCAATTTCCCGTTTGTAATACAAAATGACTGAAAATTGCAAATTTCGCAAGGCTATATTAACCGCATTTTACAACATTTCGCAACGAAACTTTGGAATATTACTAATTTTGTGATGCTCTTTCAAACTGTGATGAAATTTTTGTCTAGATCAAAATTTAGTCTATAATGCAAATGGTCCATTGAATGTCTACTCATATACGCCCGTATTCTAAAAGCTCACTCACACGCAATGAGTGGAGGTTCAATATGAGCTTCTATTGAGTGTGAATGCTGTTTTTGAATACCTTACTATGTGACTACTCACCCTCCAGCTATTCAAAAACAGCATTGACACTCAAGAAAAGTTCAGATTGAACCTCCACTCATTGAGTGTGAGTGAGCTTTTAAAATACGGGCGATAATGTCATAATGCGGCATGATAATTCACAATTCATGTATTTAATTATGCTCCATGCACACGAATGATCTATATGTTGCATGTAACTTTTCATGTGAAATACGGTGCACAAGTATAAACTCGGCGCATGCGTCTTTATTCAGTAGAACATTATTCATATTTACATACTTATTGAAAAACAAAAGCTACACTATGATGTTCAAATGAAACAATGTAGAGGGGCGAAAAACAATGCCGTTTTGAAATTTATATTATATGTATGAATCATTCGTATGAATGCTGTGCTGCCAGTTCTTCAAGTAATTATCACTTTCTGTTTATAGATACAAAGGCAACAATTCCGTGCAAGTTAGTACATTTTAATTTAATTTAATTTAATTTTTAATTTAATTTAATAACTTTGCCGTAACATAAATTACAAATTCTGGCAGGGTTCCGGGTTCCCACAACAGCATAACGCCAATTACTGCAGGCCCAATATACATGCTTGCATATCTCAACTGCAACTGTAAATTTTCACCCTTTATTTGACATTGTTTCATATCGGTATTTAATCTTTCAGCTGTCCGCGAACAGAGGTACAATCTACAAAGCTTTACCATCTGATGCTACATGCCAAAATAATTTTGAAGCCAGAAAGGTTTGCGATCTGTTTTTATATTAGAGTTTTCTCACGCAATGCAACCACACCTTGTCCGCTATTTTGTGTTAGCAAACTGCGCAGCACCAAATCTAAATGATGGTAACAAGCGAAGGAGTGAAATAGAGAAGTAGATACTGTATAGTACTTGTAAACAATAGTACTGTGTTTTAACGTGACTAAATCACTCGATCGCTTATTGCCATCACTGCCCCGTGTGCGGTTTGCCATCCAAAAATAGCGGACAAGGCTAGATTATGTCAATGCCAATGGGCCAGATCGTGTGGCGTGAGAAAGGTTAATTGACTTGTATTAAATAATAAAATAGAAGATTTTAAGCAGAATATACTACATCAATTAGTAGGATACAGTAATTTTTCGTGCAAATATAATAACTGCCACATTTACATTCTTACAAAAATGTATTTTATGCTGCGATCGTGAAAACATTACAACAAACTGAAATTTATGAAAAAAATAAAGTGCACCATGCATGCTCGTGAAAACGTATATCAACAAATATTTAACAGTTATTCTACGAACTCGAGTCGAATATGAGCTGATAGCCGATGAGGCGCGTAGCGCCGAATCGGCTATCGCTCATATTCGACGAGAGTGAGTGGAATAACTGTTTTATTATATACACAAGGTCTGAATTCACAGACTTTGCTTTTTGAATATTTTCAATATTTTTCTATTTTGTTTTAAATGTTTTTATCTTCGCTCTTTCGGCCGATTATTTTTTCAAAAATATATATTTTTAACCATTTTAAATTTTAAAAATTTATTTGCTAACCTGAAAACAATTTGTGGGAGTTTTTTCATTGTGTTTTTAATCCTGTAAAGGCTATAAAAAGCGACAACTTGCCGTTTTCTCGTTTGCAAAACATCGTAAATTACTAAATTCAGTTTGGCCGCCATTTTGTTTTTCTCTACTAGCAGGATATGAGCTAATATCCTGCTAGTAGAGAACCAATCAGATTGCAGAATACCTCATATCCAGACCTTGTGTATATAATAAAACAGTCATATTCGATTATTCAATAATAACGGTTATATTCCTTTTGTAACCTGCACTGTATTCTGCTCTCTCACTAGAATAGCCGTATTGTATGGAACCAAACTTTTGAGTTTCCCTGACATTTTGTTCTCGTGTAACTAACGACATAGTGATATTTTGCTTCCTCTCTAGGTGTTTACCTTTACCGAAATTTCAAACGGACTTAGACCGAATGTGGAAGTTGATGTTGTGGCTATAGTAATATCCCAGTTATGCCAGCACAAGTATGTTTAATAAAGCTAGACGCAATAAAGGCAACAGATGTACATGTACGCGTAACTCCTGGCAACTCCTTGTAGAATATGATCTTGGGAGTGGGGCAAATTTCGTGCAAATCAGGGCGCGAAATAACGGCTGGAGGGTGGCCGGTCAAGGTGACCGGCCAACTTAATTTTAGCTCGGACATACCGAATTTCTGGCCGGTCAAATTATTCAGCTTAAAGCAAAGCCTAGTAAAGTATACCCCTAAAATGTGACTATTTTCCCAGTATAGCATTACAAAACGCCTTACTGTATTCAGCAATTAAAAACACCTTCACATAAAACAGCTTGCACTACGCTAAAAGCATGGCCTTAACTCTTAAGCCAAAAGCATGGCCATGGCCTTTGTGACGTACTGTACTGTGTGGGAAAGCTGGCGTACATTGAAGTTCTTTTCCCGAAAAATATTCGACAACATGTTATGGTTCTTAATTATAATACTTGACAACTTTATTTTGATTATATATTAATTAAAATGAAGATTAGTTCCAAATAGAATTTAATGAAGATTACTTCAAATTCTTATTAAATGAATAATAATTATTATTAATTATTATTCATTAGTTCAAATTCTTACCTTGCCAGACAACTCCGCATTCTGGCCGGACATTGTCCGTTGACCGGCCGTTATTTCGTGCCCTGCAAATGTGCATAATATATTAATATGCATTCTGAGTGTTTTGTGGTTTACACATTTCAAATTTTCTATCCCGCCTTGCATGGCGCCGCGAATAGAGTAGATATTCCGGAAGCAGGGACAGCATATATTTAATGCTTTTTTAAACGATTCACTGGCAACTGCAGAGATTTGGACAGAACGTTCCCTTCCTTTATAACGATTACGGCCCGTGCCTATGGCGATTAGTGAGAATAAAAATTTATCATTTAGGTTTGAGAACATGCACTGTTTTATTTTCAAACTGAAACATGCCAGTCATTGAACAAGGTGATATTTGAGGTGGTTTTTCATGTACTTTTTTATTTTTCATTAGTTTAACCCTGGTGTACATGGCGGATTCTGATTTTAACTTGGTCCGAATTAAGGTCTGGGGTGGACTTGAGGTAAAGACAAAACTCGTAGTATGTTTTGAATGACTCCATGACAAAACCCCAAGTGACAAAAATATCCTCGGCAACAAAATCCCGAATTACTGAATTAAGACAAAAAACCCACATTCCTGTTGATCATTTTTTTAGATTTATCAGAACAAACTTTTTAACACAATATAATTTGTATAGAGAGAAAGTGGAAATAATGTGTATAAAATTAATAAGAAAGTAATAAAGTAAAGTAATATGAAAAGTCACTGTTCATGTGACTAACATATTCGAATGTTGTGACCGACGCCACGGAGCAGTTGCTCCTAGTGCGAGGCCGGAGTAGTCTAGGGAGTGCACCGGAACCAATTTTAAATTTAAGTCCCGGCCGGAACTCGAAAAAAGTTCCCGCGATATATAGTCATATGTTACTGTCTCTGCTGCCAGACAGGCAGACACTTGAAGTCATCAAGGAGAGAGTTCGCAAATGTTAGAATAAAAAGATTGAGAAACGTTAAAAATCAGTTCTGTAGTCCAAATTTCTTCCTACTGTGAACTTTTGTTAGACACAAGAACGTTTAATACTCTATCTCTCTGAAAACGATAGAGTTCCGGTTCTGGCCATGCTTTTCTTGTTAGTTCCGGCCGGAACCTGAACTCTGGAAAATTGAGGTTCCGGCCGGAACCGAGTTCCCGCGGTGCACCCCTACGCGGAAGTACTGCTGGAGCTCCGGGTTTTTTTGTTCAGCCTGAATTGCAGTGTTTTCACCCAGCTCCGGCTAGAAAGTCAGTATAGCAAGAAATGTGACAATTTCGAAGAATTATCGTTGGTTATACAAGATAATGGCAACATTGAATTTGTTGAAAGTACATATAATATGAAGTCATATCCGTTGTGTCAAACCATTTCGCCATTTTTGGCTGTTGCAAATGGCCAAATTGCAATGAGTTATTATGTCTGTGATCTATCTTATCATAGGAAAAGGTATTATGATTTCACGTCATCATACCTTGGGGACAAAATTGGGTCAAATATTGGCCATTGTCCGGTTAATTTGTCCCCTGAGCTGTGAACCAATGCAGCCGGAGTCGACTATTTGAACTGTAAAGCAGCCGGAGCCGGTGCATGCCGGAGTCTGAAAAATTTGCATTCAGTAATTTGGTGGTATTGTCGGCGGGGAGTTTGTCGGTGGGGAACTTGTTGTGTGGGGATTTTGTCGGTATCCTGTTTTGAATGTCAAAACGAAGTCAGATGATGCCAATCTTTGAAATCGCTCCAAATTCTACACGAGCACGTAGATTTACATGCAGAATCTATAATCTTACAATTTACCTTTGTCCTCATAATTCATTTATTTATTTGATATCAACTAGGTTTAAGTTATCTAAACCAATGTCATTGTGATTTTAATGACTATAAATGTATAATAATTGGTTTATGTGTAAAACATTTTGAATTGATATATTACAATTCACTATTTTAGAGTCAAGGTCTGCAAGATGTTATGAAAGAAAAGAATTTTATAGCGGCGTGTAATCTTCTTTCCCAACCAGACAGAAGATCTGGGATTGCATCTCTAAAATACTGTGAACTGTCTCTGGTCACATCAAACCCATCCAACAAGATGCTGAGAAACAGCCTTTATGAACTACGAAAAGCAGTCTCGGTAAGCTTATTATATTAAATGGTTACAGCTAGAATGGAAATAATATACCCGCGTAGGCTATATAAAAAAAAACGCAATGGAAATTCAACAAGCTGGCGTGCATCATAACTTGGCTAAACAATTCAATTTTTATATAGGACAAAAGAGCTGTTATTTAGCTTCTCTATGATACAGTACCTTTTTAAAATCGTAACGATGAGAAATGGCCACATACTCGTCAAATAAAAATTGTCTTTCGATATCACATTCTTCCACCGTTGGGCATTGAAAATACATTAATTATGCAAAGTTAGTCAATCCAGAAGCAACGCGAGTCTGCTGCAAGCTATTTGTTTCGTAAAACGTTTTGATTACGAATGTTTTCTGTTCAGTGGTTAACTTCGTACGATTACAGTGGTTAACTAACCACCTAAAAATTACAAATGAACGTCCCCCACTATTTTATGGTATTACTACGTCGGCTTTAATAGAAGTTAAAAGTATCAGAGTTTTGTGCTGGATAAAAAGATTTGCATGTAATTCACTGATATTTGATTGGTCAAAGTTCAAATTAACCAACCGTTTGCCTTCTGGGGTCACAAGTGTTGACAACAATAGTCCAATTTGTTTAAATTATGGAAATTAGAATAGATCAACAATAGTTTTAGAAGAATATTTAAAGATAATTGAGACCTTAAGATTGACGTTTACGGTATAGCGCAAACGGCAAACGTCAAATCCCATTTGTAGGTAAGTTTTACAAGAGTTTTCGACAGCTGCTAATTCATGCTTTGAATCAACTTTGATGCACTATTTGTCGTAACTTCGAACAGCTAACAGTAACAGTTGACATCAAAATACAATTTGAAGTTTGCCGTTTGAGGTTCGTGGTCTGCTGTAAACGTCAATCTTAAGATCTCTATTGCCTATCTATGTAATTAATTAATTTTAATTTTAGCTCTGAATTTTATAGACGTTTCCTGATTATTTTACCTAATTTGCATATTTGAACAAATGTGTGGCAACCTTGTCAACAACCTCCAAGGATATAAAAATAAATTACTTTACTTCATCCCATATAAAAAATTAAAATGTATATTAGGTAACGGTGTAATACCAAACAGAAAGTGAGACTTTTTTGGTATACAACTTGTTGTGTACAGGTGTATGGGATGTTCTCTTTATATTCTTCAGGTAGTTAGATCCTTCAACCATGCATGCAATCTCGTGAATAGTATTCATCGCTATACCTACTCGTACACTGGAACTTAACACTCGAAATGTCAATTGATCAATATTGCGAAAGTTGTATTGATGAAAAGTTGAAAACTTTACCCAAAATCTCAGATAGTAAAGAGGTTGAGATTTGACTACCACTCTGTGCTTCCTCTCGCAAACTTAATACGCATTTAATTGGTTAATCAGTAGAATAATTACATATCCCTAAAAATGTAATGTGCTTCCTCAGAACCCAGATTCATTTATAACGAAAGCCAAAGCTAAGCTGGACGAATTATGTCATTCAAATTGGTCAACGCCTAAGGCACAAAACATCGCTCTCCTGAATGGCACATCAAGTGAATCTGCAGGAAAGCGACGAAGAACCAATGAAACACCGCCAATGCAAAACACGGAGGTTAGTCTTGCAAACATTTCAACATCATATCTGCTATTACTCACCAAAAGCTTTCGGAATATTCATACGATATATGTTTATCATATGTCACACGATTTATATTCATAACGTACCTCAACTTTGGGCCACACGTGCTTTTTAGTTTTTTTGCTCAGCCAATTAGAATCTTCCCACGTACGATGTCTTATCACTCTTATGGAATTGTTAAGGCCAATAACCTTATGTATTTGTACCTCGGTACTCGTGAAATTTTCGGACAGATCTATTACCAGAAATTTCTGGAACAGTGGCAAATGGCACTAATCACTTTTTGAATGAATGACGTAACTCCTTGTTCAATACGGTGCTGTTCTATGTGTAAACAACAAGTGCATGAGGTTTAGATTTGACTTCCACTACCTTTTCTGACTAAGTACGCTTCTAATTGGTTAATCAGATAGATCAAACGCATCTGATAGGTTAATGGTGCTGTGCCCTAGAGCATGCGCAACACAAGTGCACAGGCGCAAAGACATACTATTTTAATTTGGGTTAGTACCAAGGCTTATGATTCGTAACAGACTAACAGACTTACACAGTGAGTATAAAGTGATGCCAAACTTCGTTTGGGCACCGAAATCAAGAAGCTAATTTATTAAGAAAGTCAGGGCCATTTTTGACCGAAATTTCTGGTTATGTTACTGTAATCTTTCGTACATATATGTGTATGCATTGCCCAAAAGCATCTAGTTTGTTAATTTAGTTAGTTATCAACAAAATCTCAAGAACCTTCATTCAAAAACACTTCTGTTTGAGAACGGTTACACATGACATTAGAGAGGTTCAGATTTGACTTCCACTACCTCTCACTAGCTTACTACGCATGTGATTGGTTAATCGGATATATCAAACGCATCTGATTGGTTAATGGTGGCGGTAGTGGAAGTCAAATCTGAACCTCGATAGTATGTGAACGGCAACTTGTCCGAGAATATCCGCTTCAGGCCGGATCTCTTTGATTTATGTGTTTTGTATTTTGTTTCATCACCAATATTTTTCATAATCTTTTTTGACCTCTCAAATTTCCACCTATGCTTGAAAACGTTTACTACTCTTAATCCATATATTATTAGCATAGATCTTGATCCATATATTATTAGCATAGATCTTTAATTAGTCCATATATTATTAGCATAGATCTTAATCCATATATTATTAGGCTAACATACCAGTGGTGCGTGCCAACGGCGCATTTACACCATCATCTTCAACAACTACGCCAAGACAGAGTGAAAGCTTATTGCAATCAAGAAAGAGAATATTGCATTCAAAACGAAGGAAACTGGATCTTCTTGGAGATCCTTCACCAATATCTCCGATTCCCAATGCTTTGCCAGCGAGTGTAAGGAAAGCATTTCAAGTACCGAGACGAATAAGAACTCAAGCCGATGATATGGAGAATGAAGAAGAGTGAGGGAAAATGATGATTATGAAAGTCTTAGGCAAGTATTGGGACTTGTCCTGGAGGGACAGTGTGCGAGAATCGACCGTACAGGTATGTCATGACGTCATATACGAAGGTGACAAATACAAGGGCAGTTGTGTTTCCTTGTGAAAATGGAGGAAATTTGTTTTGAGATGAATGTTTTCACATTAAAGTAGTAAATATTATATTATTGAGTATTGACCTCTACCATTGTCAAGTTTCTTACTCTTTCCAAATGCAAAGTCATGTGTATTGTAACTCAGGTATCTCACCGTTTCAGATATCGGACCCAAACGTCCTGTGGTTGTTGCAGCCACTTAGGGGTTTAATAGTAAATTACTGTGAGCCAGTCGTGAAATGTGTTGTTACTGGAAATGTGTTCCATGTGGGGTGTGGATGTTTCCTGAAATTTCCCAGTCAATAAATTAGCAATACCTGACTTACCTGCATGGTCAGTTTAATACGAGCCTTAATTAACCCAAGGCCATAGGCTTTATACTGTAGCCAATAAAATTTCCACCAGCGCCACAGTTCCAAGGATGATGGAACTGTAACAAAGTTATCTTGACTGGGTTATTCCAGGAAACATCCACACCCCTTTCGGAGTCCTATATTGTAGGGGAGTGTGGGTCGTTTCTGGAACAACACATTTTCAGAAGTCCCGGAATTTATTTTCTTTTGAGCATTTCATATGTTTTGCGTCGTTGATAATTGTGTAAAATCGTAACCCAAAATGCAGGAAATGACATTTCAGGGACTTAATATTAACTTTCAGTGGAGCATATCCCCCGGTTTTCTCGCACCTTTGGCGCTCTTTTGTCCATCGTACTTTCACTACTTTGTTCATTCTGACTACGTGGCTGGTGGCTCCGCTTGCTCGCCAGAAATTTTCAAACAAGAAACACACGGGCGAACTTACACTGCTAATTGTTCTGATTTACAAGAAGTAGTCTCTCTCGCCGCCGCTCTTTGTGGGGAAGAACGACACACAAAGTGCCGCTGCGAGGGAGACTATACGAGAGGTTGATGGTCATAGTCTTACAGAACGTCTACTGCTTGCACTTTAATTTCGAAAGCTATTTGAATCTTATTTGAATCAATTTCCAGAATCTCCTTCTATTTACTAAATTACAACTTGCCTACTTTACACTGAAACCTTTAAAAACAAAGAATTATATATGATACTGTAGATTAAGATATATTATATGAAATGTCAATTATAAAGAGAAATATTTTATTAGAGGCTATATTTGCACTCTTATATTGTTGGAATTGTCAACCAAGGAGAGAACTATTAAGGATCATTCAAATGTTTAGTATGTAAATATCTAATATCTAAAAATAAAGAGAGTAAGTTCTGTTTTGTTCTGTTGCTGATTTCAAGTTTCTTCATTTATTAATTAATGAATAGAATGCTGGTTCTATAGAAGTTTTAGAAAGGAGGAACCTTATAATGACAAACCACTGGATCACCAACTTCAACAATATTGAGGTTCCAGTCAATATATATTAATTAATTTACATGAATAAACATAACAGGGTTAGAATACAGTCAAAAGGGTGTAGAACAGACCTTACATTTTTCAGTTGGACACATTCTACTTAAAAATTGGGTAATAAAAATTGGGCAAATGATTACACCCGTTTTCAAAATTACGCAACCTCCCTGAAAAATACTCTTACTTCATATGTCAGTTTTATGTCACAAGAACTGCTAAAAATGGGCTATTACATTTAATATCCGTCTCGAGGACCTCATTTTCCAAGGGGGAAATTAGTCATTTTTTCCAGAGGGGTAATTGGGAAAAATGGAAGAAAAATGCTCTTTCCAGAGGGGTTAAAAAGCACTTCCAGAGGGGGTTCAAGTCTCTTCCAGAGGGGTCAATTACACATATTTTTTTTGCATTCCAGAGGGGTAAAAATCCCCAAAAGCAGAGGTCCTCGACAGGGGGGGTTTGGTTTTTTAATGTAATAGCCCAATAGCAAACGTAAACAAACTGTCAAAAGACATTTTAAACCGTATTTAATACCAAAACTGAACAAAAATGAGTCAGATAACTTTGATATACAAACTAATAAAGCACAATTGAAGCCATCACAACAGAAATGTGTGCCGTGAATGACTTTTAAAGTTTGAAAAATAACAATTTATCCTCGAATTTAGCTGTCAGTAAAAAACACGCGCGCGGTGATGTTATGATTTTGTCGTGCTTAAATTTTGCAATAATTCTCACTAAAATATCTTGAAAATCATTGTAAGCCTGTTTATATAAAGCATACAAAGCATATACATCGACAAGGAACCGCAAAACTCAAAGTTTGAACTTCGTGACCGAATGACATAAAACTGACATGTCAACTCTAGTATTTTCGTCCTTGGTCGCGTAATTTTGAAAACGGGTGTAAAAGGAAGGGCTACTGGTATTAAAATCATTAACAGTTTGTGATGCAAAAATTTTGTAATTGTCGGGCAAACTATTGTCCGTCTGCCATGTCTTTGCTCTATTTAACTCATTCCTGAAAGACTGATTTACAGTGTCCCTTGGGTATTACTATACCAGGTACAGTATAAACTGTGATGGATGAATTTGTATCTGATTGTTTTAGGCAATTTAGGGAGTATCACTTCACTCTATACTCCATAGAAAAACCAGGAAAGCAATTTTCCTCTCCTGTTTTCCACAAACTGCAAGGTCTGGTAGAATGGTATGCAACTAAGAGACATTTTTTCTAATTGTTTATATAATTGGCTTAATACATTCTAGAAATCCAGTTTCAAATGCAGTTTCTGAGAAACGTTCTTGTACAGATTCCCTAGCATTCTTTTTTATCATATCAATTTCATCTGGATGCAATGAGAATATTTTATTTATTGCTTGGGCATACGTTTCCTCAGTATCAGCTAAGAAACCAGTTTGGGTACCATTCCATTCTGTGACAATATCCATTCTAGGTCCTCCAGAATTGTGAGCGAGTGCAACCACCCCAGCTGCCATGCATTCAACCACTCCTATACCAAAATGTTCATTCCACATGGTATGTAAACCTATGGTTGCTTCTGCAAGGTGATTCTTTAACTCATCAAATGAAACATTAAGAGCAAACTCAACATGTTGCTTGACGTTCAACTGACCGGCAAGTTCTCGAAGGCTATCAACACGATCAGCATCATCCTGATTTCGACAACTACCAACAAGAATAAGTTTATAATGCTTTTGGTCCCTACTAGGTATTTCATGTAGAAACTGAGCAAATGATCTGATTTGTAATGCATGATCTTTCTCGGGTCTAAACTGTCCAATAGAAACAACACTCTTTATCCCACTGGCATCTTTTCTCGGGATATTTAGGAATGCTTTTGTGTCACATGGTGGGTACACAATAACAATACTATCCTTCTTCCAAAGTGCTTTAATATGACCAAATGTCCAGGATGAGTTAACCATGACAACATTAGCACAGGATCCTGCCAAACCATAGATATATGCAAACAGCTTGTAATAAGTCAATTTCACTCCACTTAAAATACGGCTTCTTGTTATGAATGATGCGTTGTTATATGTTGCTCGCCGGTCACTAACTTTTGATAACATGTCAGTGCTGATGGTTGGGTAATGGACATAACAACCTACATCGCATTTACCAACATATTTGAATAATGGTAATGTAAAGGCATAACCCATGGTATCTATATAGATATCAGGATTAAATTTCACCAGAGCTTCCCAACCAAGAAATATTGAACCAATGCTTTGACCCAACAATGTAAAGAAAGGGTAAGGACTGGCTTCTACCCACTGACGGTTTTTTAAGAACACAAACTTGACAGGTCTTAGTAATGTGATATTAAATCTCTCTTTTGCTCGTCTTAAGATATCATCTCCAGTCACATCCTGATCTCCAGTGTAAACAACAAACTTCAGATGGGAATGTTCATTCTGTAGAGAACGTATAGCAGTCCACAAAACTCTCTCGCCCCCGCCACCAGCATTACAGTACGGGTGAAAAAATGCTACAGTACTAGGTTTACTGTCCGAAATATACGATGCTGAAGCTTCATATTTTGATTTCCCTCTCTTGTTGATCCACCATCTTGCCGCGAGAAAAACCACAATAATCGTACTTGCCAGAAAGAATAGAAAGCCGAAAGTTGCCACAAACACTACACGAGTGAAATATACGAGCGATGAAAGCATTGTTTACGTCGAATCAAGCTAAAAACTATAAAGATTTTTATCTATTTTTATATAAAACGTGGCTGAAGTTGAACGAAGAGAAATTAGAAAATAGCCACTATACTTCATGTACGACAAATATTATGACGCCACTTCCCTTCCCTTGCGTGTGCGCGGATTTCGTTGGCGCGGATCGTGGTTGCTTGAATGATTGAATATTTGAATCTTCTCGAATTTCCTGGAGATGCAAATTATGAACAATACTACATGACAATTAGCGATAAAAAAATAGTGCTGAAAATAATCGCGGAAAGAATGGGAATAGGTAATAATACAAAATCAGATCTATTTATAGGAGTCAGGCCCTTGCTCAAAATTGAAATAGTCATATTATAGTTTGTTCAACACCGTAAACCACCGACTATAAGCCCTGGGCTTATATTCTTTCGTAAGCGATTTTTGATGGGCTTAATATACAAGGAGGGGGGCTTATACATGGACGTATGTGTGTTAGTGTAATAGTACGTGATAAACAAGTATAGTAATAGTGATAAACAAGTGTTAAGCATAGTAGTAATAGTGATTAATAGTGGTAATAGTGATAAATAATAGTGATAAACAAGTGGGCTTATAAAGTGGGCTCATATTCGGGTGGGCTTATATTCGGGGGCGGGGGTGCTTATATTTGGAATGAGGTGAGCGTTAGAGCACATGGTGGGCTTATACACAGAGGGGGCTTATATTCTGGGGGGTTATATTCGGAGGTTTACAGTATACAGGGTGTATAAAAAAAACTGAACAGATTTGAAATTGCTCTCAGTTAAAATAAATAGTTAAAGGTTAAATAAATAGTTTTAGATTACAAATGGGAAATGGTTACCACTTTTCCAAAATTTTGATCTTAACTAGCCTAAACAAAAATTTCATCACAGCTTGAAAGAGCATCACAAAATTAGTAATATTCCAAAGTTTCGCTGCAAAATGTTGTAAAATGCGGATCATTTGGCCTTGCGAAGTTTCGAACCATTTCCCGTTTGTAATCTAAAATGACTGAAAATTGCAAACTTCGCAAGGCTATATTATCCACATTTTACAACATTTTGCAACGAAACTTTGGAATATTACTAACTTTGTGATGCTCTTTCAAGCTGCTTTCGTCTAGACTTGTTGAGTTCAAAATTTTGGTCAATTGGGGAATGGTCCATTGTTCTGTACCCTGGCTTGTAGTCTGTGAAATAGTAATCAAATTCAACTTATCAAATTCAGCAAATTATAGCTTTAGTCATTTACCATTACCAAGTCATGTATACCAACATCACAGTTCTATAGTCAGTATTCAGTTATGACCAAGCAACCATACAGTGCTTGCGGCGCGCGACAAATGTCAGAAGAATGGGGAAAACTTATTTATAAATTGACATTTGGTGCAGTTCCATGCACGCGTATTTTTTGGGCTGCTTATTGTAATAGGCATTCCATGCATGTATATGCAAATTCCCATATATTTTCTGGTAAAGTTTCGAAGTTTATATTGTTGACAGTACACATTGTTCTTCCCAAAGAATACAATCACAATGATTTTGATTAAGTTATTCTGTACAAGTGGAGCTGAGTTCAGTCGAGTCATTTATGGCAGAAATCCGCAAGTCGAGTCATTTGGGGCTGTTGACTCGAATCGAGTCATTTTTCGTATATGACTCGAGTCACTGAAAATAGCGTGTCCGGGCGTAACGTTATATCAGGTGGCCCCCGGTTCAAAATTTTCGAAGGCCCCCTAGTAGAAGTGCCAAAGGCACGAGTTGAGCGCCGTATATGCATGAGTTTTCTAGGGGGTCCATGGCATGCTCACGCGGAAAATTTTTGAAATCTCTGAAATGCCATTTCCCGGTATTTGGGGCGAAAGCCATGAACAAATACGTGTTGTGATGTTAGTTGGCACTTGCAAGAGCCTGTTGTACAATAACCAGTAACCTTTGTCATTAAACATATCTAATCTTAATTACACATTAAGTAGAAGCTGTGACAATGTTTTCATTCGCTCTTTAATTCCCATAATTTTCTTACTGTACAAATATTTTGCGGCCACTCAATGCCCATGGCCCATATTGCAGGTGGCACATAAATATTTTAAAAAGCCTTTTGTATTGTGTTATGTAATAATATGATTACTTTAAGATTTTGCCGCCCCTTGTAGCATGTAGTTTTGCACGCCTCAAATGAGAAACAAATTCATAAAATAAAAGATAAAGAGAAAGTATTACTAAATCAAGCGGGTTTTCTAAGATAGCTAACACAAATAGACCAGTATAACTATTTCTTTCTTTCTGTGTTCTTAGATTTAGACCCGGTAATAACCTGAGTCGATACTAACATATACAGTTCATAATTACCGATTTACTACATCCTAACTTGCTGAACATAGAGCAAAATTCAACTGCATAGACTATTGCAGTCATTTTAGAATGATAAAGCCGACATAAAGCAGTTCGTGAGTTTTTGCTTTGGACATATATTGCTCCACAAATTAGGCGTCGTTGCCATTCTGTAGACAAGATCTCAAAGATATCCTCAAAATCTCCAATCTCAGTCAGTTGCAGATTCATTTCACACTAACGAACGAACATGCACGACCAGTGATTATTCGAAGAGATTCTCGAAAAGTGTGAATTTTAACAGAATAAATGAAAGGATTTTGTGCAGAATTTAAGAAAGCCAAAGTGTTAACGTAGGGAAAAATATGTAACATTGTTTGTTTATCGTTCATGTCTCGAGTCGTCATGTAGATTAAGCCCATGATAAGTAGAGGAAGCCAAGACAGTAGAAACGCACCACAAACTATCGACGTCGTTTTAAACGCTCTTAGTTCATGAAAAAATGTCAAATGTAGTCTCAAAAAGTGACGATGCTTTTGTTTCTTTTCTCCTTCATGTGAATTATGGCTATCTTCATCTTCAGTAGAATTTGATCTTACAACTCTTTTGACTGCATGTTCCTTTTCAATTTTCTTGCGATGTCTTGTGGCAACGATAAACAGTCGAATATGAATTACGATTAAAGTGATCATTACCAAGAAACAGAGGAAGCCGACCACTCCATGAATAACTCGTGCTGTTGATTTCGCAACCAGTGCTAGTGCAGTACCAAGGACTATTGTGAAACACCAGACTATGACCAACGCTGTAATACACCAGCTACATGTATGTTTCAGTTTTTGATGATAAAGATATGGTCTACATATCGCAAGAAAACGATCGACTGATACGACAAGAAGATGAAGTAACGAAGCTAGAACTAAGGCCCAGCGAGACGCCTGCAGTATTCGAGCAAGACTTGTGTCCACTATATAGAAAAACGAATAAACATACAATGGCTGTACGATAGTAATTATCAGTATATCAGAGACAGCTAAGCTTCTTAAGATGATCGTCGAGGGCATCCCGCGACTGTTTTGATGCAGGTTTAACACAGTAACAACCATTATGTTGCCAAGTAGACCAAACGCCATGGAGAAGACGTTGAAAATACACAACGTTGTCTTTTCGATTTCCGTTAGATGGTATATAGGATATGTAGTGAGGTTCATGATGGCTTCTCTTGTCAAATGAAACTTTGTTTCCAGTGAATAACGTATATGTTGTTAGTGCGGTTAAAACGTGTCGGTTGTTAGTGCGGTGTCATGCACCTGCACAATGCGCAAACATGCATGTATGCATCCAACCAGAGACATACGAAAGCTTTTATTAAATAATAAAGTAGGCGTGGCCTATTTGATTCAATATGAAAATTAAACATCATGCTTATGGATAATTGAAATTTATAAAATGTCAATGTATATGAAAGCATTTCAATTTCATCAATATAAGAAATGTACAATAAATTGTGAATTGAAATGTAAAATGTAATTCTTATCTCGATAACTTCAAACATCTGTCTATACATGACGATGTTGTCTTTTTAATATCTTGGCCCACGACAATTACATGATTACATAATCTTAGATTCTTCTGTTCGCTGCAGGATCCATTTGCATGTACGTAAGGCATGCAGTATTTGACGTTATATATAACTATGTCTATAGCAAAAATAATTCACCATGCATAAATATTACTTGACATAAACCCATAATATTCAAAGACAACGAAAATTCATAAATTGTTTCTATAAAACTAGGTTAGTTTGTTTTTGTTTCTGGAATAATCTTTTCTAAAAACAATTTATGTAAGTTGCGTGGTGGCAAATAAACAGTCTTTCCAGAAAGTGTTACAGACTGCATGAATTTTCAATATGTTGATATATACATTTTCAACAAACATTAATTGTCAGCAATACAATCAGTTCTAACTTATTTATCAACACATTATTTGCTCGGCTTTACCTCGGGAAACTTTGGCAGTGAATGAGTGTTCAAAAAAGTATATCATGTAGACCTCACTATAGTGTGTGACTCATGCAGTATTTGGTTTTATTTGGTTTGCTTTCCCATAATGACGTCAAACGCAGAATTTTTTGCGACAATCAGTTAATGTCAATGATACAAGAAATTTGATTGGCTTGGCAACGACGAATCGTTGCTAAAAATTGTGGCACATCACATAAATTGTTGGGGTTTTTTTGCGTTTGACGTCATTAAGAAATTGTTCTATTGTTCATATCATGTGTTTTCTTGTTTTGTGTTTGTTCATGTGTCCATGTAATGTTATGAATATCCCCAGAAAAAATTAAAACTACCTGGTGCATCAGCTTTTTAGTTATTTCAGGTATAATCTCTACCATAAATATATATTTTTTTAAATAGATCATCTACATTATCTAAAGAAAATACATGACACTTGTATTGTGAATGTTTGCATTGATGAAATAGTCGTGAAAACTCTATGGGTAAGGGGTTGTAGCATTTTTATAAGCGGTTGTAGCGTCTTTATTTATAAAGTTGCATAAATTAACTTGCGTATAAATTGAAGATTATTGAGATCTCTGTGCCTCTGATCTTTACTGTATTCTATTGCATCGTCTTGGTATATAAAAAATGAGAACATGAAATATAGAATGTTTTAGTCTAAGACCGTTGTCCAATCAGATTAATCAGATCCTCCAATGACCCCACTTTAAGTCAATATTGGCGCGCGTGAAGTAACTGATTAGGAAAAGCAACAAGAAAAACAAAACAAGGACGCTTACAAAAACAGGTGAATGAATATTTTTATTCATCTATAATTAATCACGCTAGGACGACATTTTTCATTAATTAATATCGATACCATGCAAGGTAGGGCAATAAGGGAAATAACAATTTCATCTTTTAATTATACAATTTCAAAGTTGCTTTCGAAAAATTAGTGTTTTCAACGTTTAGTCAAAATTCATATTTCAGCTGGCATGGCACACCGAGATCATTAATTATCAAATTTCCAAGATAGCAGACTAGAGAGATCACGCGAGGCATGCTACCTCCTCCGCAGGCGCTTAGGGTGCATTTCGGGCAGGTCACGAGAGGCACCATATCTGATTTAGACAGCGCACAATTACACAAAAATAGAACAAAATCTCCGCCCGGATCAAACGTCGCTCTTTTCATGCGCCGAACCTAATAGGACTAATAGCTGCATTAAGTTCGCACAAGAGCGACGTTTGACATGGATTAAGTTCGACAATGAATTAGGTGCGACCTAAATACTTTGGAGCGACAGGTTCTGTCGCATTATGCGACGCTGGAGCGACAGAGAGTGTAATAAATTATCTTAATTTGTTTTTTGATGAAATATTTAAATACTTCATCTTAAGGGGGAGCTTCACCTCAAAATTTAGTCGATTAGGATGAAAATGTCAAAATATCTAAAACATCATGATAGGATACCTAAACATGTATTTTATCAACTAGTGAAGTCTTTATTTAAATTTCCATACTTTTTACGGAAAAAAATAGACTTTAGAGAAAGGATGTGAGATTTCATTGAATGTTTACACCAGGTTACCATGGAAACGAGCTTCAAAAATCCTCTAAAAAAGTCGTTTTACTGTGCGATTTCAATGTAAAAATTTATACAGGGCTACCTATGCCAATGGTGTGTATTATGGATATGAGAGGCACATAGGGACACGCTACAATTGCATAATTTTGTTATTTACATAATTTTACTCATTTACATGAGGCTTTGAGAATATATTCCGCTAAATTTTCTATTTTGTCGCTATATTTTGTTGCATTTTTGGTTTGTAATAATGCCAAAAGGTTCCAAAGAAGGAACAAACTTTCGTGTGAGAAACAAATCAAAGAAAAAGCCCGTTTCAAAGGGAAACGATTCTCTGATTTTTGCGAAGATGGCGATGTTTTGAAGGAAAGTTCATGGCTCTCAAATCTAACACCCGATCTGGATCAGAAGAGTAAAATGAAGACTAATATGATGACGATTTATTGAATAAAACTGATGAGAAGTCACATCGGCAAAGAAACTGGAGAAAGCTAATTTAAAATCACCTCAAATTTACTCCTGAAATTGAAGGGATATTATAAACTTCAAGGCAAACTTCACAAGGACAAGAAGGATATCGGATTGTTTGTATTGAAAACATTAGGAAAACTGTTGAGAACATGCATAAGTGCAAAAATGAAAACATTATAACTTCTGAAGATGCTGCAAAACGTGCTGGACTGAGCAGTACTTAGTTTATTATTTTGAGTGCAGAGGATTGACATGGATACATAGAAGCCAGTTGAGGGAAAGGCATGTTCTTTTGATGTAGAACTAATTTTCCTATGGGTGAGCTGGGCTTAGGTTGGGAAATTCTTTCAACTATTTGTGACATTTTGAACATTGGCCCTCCAGTTTATAGTGATAGTGCTTACCAAAAACACAATCAATCGGTGAATCTAGCAACAAGAAAAGTCTTGGAAGAAATATTGAACATTGGCGCGGCTGGTCGACTTGATGTAATGAAAGAGCTGAAAATGTATGCTGGTTTTTATACAAAAACTGGAAGTGGGAGAAAGAATGACAAGAGAGTAAAACAAGCAAATACAAGGACCCAGATGAAGTTCAAGGAAGCAAGACAGAAGATTCAACAGGCAAAATTGGCGGAAGAGGCAAGATCGAAGGCACGGAAAGGAGTAACATATGAGAGCGCGGCATTTAACGAGGATTGTTTGAGTGGTTCAACTAAGAGAAAGAGGACGACAATGAAAAGTAGTGGTAAAAAGGGCAAAAGCAAGCTGCCAAGAAAAGAATAGAGCCTCAAACACTCTTATAACACTCAAACAACAAGTTCCAACGGAAATTAAACTTTAACTGTCTATTTCTCAAAATGTGATATTTGGCCGCACGTCAACTGCCCCCCTAGCTTTTCTTGTTACTGTTTTAATGAAAATTTCCCATTTTTGGCACAGATGTAGTTTAAGGTATGTAGAATGCAACTATGAGCCATTTTTTTGATATTTATTTTCTAACAGGATTTATAGTGAAAAGTGTATACGCAATCTGTTTTATCCGTTACCATAGCAACCATGGTGAATTACAAAAAAATGGCTCATAGGAGCATAGTTCAATATCTTAGCTACCACAACGTGCATTTTCACTTAGATACATCACATATTATGTGAAATTTTATGGGGGGGCAAAAGTGGCCTGTAAAATCCAGTTTTCCATATACTACTCGCTTCTTTGGTGTCAAATTTCAGTCCGATACACCGAACCGGAAAATTTTTTGTCTCAGCTGATAGCTGAAGATCTCTAGTTTCTAAAAATATATAGTTTATACATATTTTGCTTAAATATATGCCTCCTAACAATTGTTAAAGTTTTGTCCATTTTGAAGTACGATTGGGGTGAAGCTCCCCCTTAAACTGTTGTATCCATTTGGAGCGACATATTAAAGTTCGACGTCTGACTTGACACCGCTCCACGGTCGCTCCATGAATGTCAAACTCAATTGTATTAGGTTCGGCGCATGGAAAGAGCGACGTTTGACCCAGGCCTAAGCGAGACCAATTGATCATGATGATAACAGTTCTCAGTTGACTTGGATAGGCTGCATTTCATTTTCAACTACAAACATCTTCCTCAGTTATTTATTAAACCTTAGAAAAGAAAACTGTTCATCCACTCAAAGCATGAGATAACAAGTATACAGCTATTTCAATTAAGGTTGTCCACCAGCAAAGCGGAAAAGTCAAATACGAGCGCGATAGGCTGCTGGGAATCGCTAACAAATTAATGAATTTTCATAGCGATTCCCAGCAGCCTTTCGCGCTCGTATGCGACTTTTCCGCTTTGCTCGTGGACAGCCTAAATTGAAATAGCTGTATACTACAATATTAACGACATTTACGTCATCGGAGAAGGGAACTTTTCAATTTGGGAAATGCATTGAGTAAACATAGATACTCTTTTATGCTAAACTTTTTTAGCCATAATTATTTTCTGACTTGCTGAACGTCATACTTCAGTAAAAACTGGGCGCAGTACAGTAAATGAATAATAAATGTCTGATAAATTAAAAATGAATAATGCAGTTAGTAAAATCATCGAGAGAGCTGAAGTAGTGAACGGCAACTTCGCGCCTACGTTGTCGTAGGTTCCCAGCGCAGCGCCGCCAATTCATTCAACTTTAAATATACTTCATGTAATATATCAGTATTGTGCTTGACGTAATTCATGTTAAATCGTAAATAAGTCTTTGTATGTGTAAATTGATACGTCACAGTGACACATTGTAATTTGGTAGGGTAATCAAATAGCTAGGTAGTGATTGAATGTCATTGTTGCTGTCAGATCGTAGCGAGACAATCGGAATGTTTAACAGTCTAAAACTCACGTTGTAAATAGTATACTTTCACATATTACAATCAATACAATTATAAAATACAGTCCCTTGAGCGTTTACCGAATGAACCAGACGGTGGAATCACAAGTTCCGCAACACAGTGGTCCGATCGAGCCGGATTGTTAATATTGTGAAGAAAGGACGCGCAAATAGTCAACATTTGCGTCGCGGTCGAGAATAGAGTTGCGTGAGGTTTCGAGACTTGAATCGTCAGATGGAAGATCTAGTCAAGAAGAAACGAGTGAGAGGAGGCCACAGATCGTCAGCTAAAAAGCTTGTGGCGAAGATAGTTGAAAGGCTTCAAAGTGAGAGCCCAGACAAAGACATACTATGGTTGCGACAGAGCCAAACGAACTTGAAAGAAAAAATCAAGACGATAAGACAATTCGACGAACAAATAATCGACATAATCAGCGCATCGAAAGAGGAAGACGTCGATGAACTTGTAACGCAAGAAATTGAAGACTCAGACAACGCGATAGCGGAACTGGAAAGAATATTACTCGAGCTCGAGGATGAATTATGTAAATTGAGACAAAGCACGCCATTGTCAGTGTCGACAACGCAGAACGCCGCGGATGCAAGCCTTAATCAGAGTCATTTGTCAACCTCCAGCGATATGTCAGTCGGTAAAATCGTTCGAGCTAAGCTCCCGAAACTTGAACTCAGAAAGTTTAACGGAAAGATTTGCGAATGGCAAGAGTTTTGGGACAGCTTTTCAAGTTCAATCGATAACAATGAGCAATTGTCTGATGTCGATAAATTTGCGTATTTACGCGGTCTGTTGGAAGAACCAGCAAAGTCAACAATCACTGGGTTTTCTCTGACAGAAGCAAATTATAAGTCAGCAGTAGAACTCTTAAAGAAACGATTTGATAAAAAGAGCGCAGTCCAGCGAGCACACGTGAACGAACTGATTCAATTGTCGCCGGTATTCAAGGAAAGAGACACGCGAGGACTTCGCGCGAAGCACATAACCGCGCGTTGAAAGCACTGGGGGTGAGCGAGGAATCTTACTCCAGTATTGTTGTTCCAGTCATCGTCGAGAAACTACCGGAATCATTTCGGTTGACGATTACCAGAGGAACAGATTTTCTACAATGGTCGATGGAAGAAATGCTGGATGCATTTGTAAAAGAATTGGAACTGAGAGAAGCACATAATGCCGTGGGAACGACTGCCATAGTAAATATGGAACGAGAGCAACAGCGTCAGCGAAAGAACCCTTATACTGCTGCTGCACTCTTGGCGAATGAGAAACGAAAAATCTGTTGTGCCTTCTGTCTGAAACAACATGCCCACGAAGACTGTCCAGGAGTAAGGGATCCAAAAACTCGTAAGACTTTAGCACGTAAGTTTGGTAGATGTTTTAAAT